TTATTTATTTATAAATATGTGTGTGTCCGTGAACACGACAACTTGAGTAATTTTTATCCGATTTTGATGAAATTTGGTTTGAAGGTGTAAGGCGGGATAAACTTGAATGAGTTCACGATCCAGCATGATCGGACCATGGGAACAGGCTTTTATGGGGTAAAAATTGGGTTTTCTCACTTTTGACCCTCAAAACACAAAATTTCCCAATTTTTCTCTAAACCTTCTTAAAGAGCTTAAAAAAACAAACAATTCAGTATTCCAAAGTGTTTTTGTACCGTTATTGGTTACGGAGAAAACTAAAAAAAATGGTAAATTTAAAACTCCCATGTTATTCTTATGGAGAATATTGTAAAATGTTGTAGTTTGCTTGTCTATGGATATATTTTGATCAAACTTGGCAAATTTATTTATTTTATAGTAAGCTATCAATATTTTACTAAAAACACACTTTATTAGTTTCCTTGCAGCAGCAAACCTAGGTACTCGTTAAACCTAATATGTTATTTAAATAGATCAATTGAAAATCAATTCAGCCAAATGGAAATTCGCTTAGATAGCAGGTTTGCTGCAGCGGGGGTATTTATGTGTAGAGTTGTGAGCCCGAGCTGCCCCTCGCCTCTGAACATGGGAACACGCTTCCAATTTGTTCGCTTGGGTAGAGGAGCGGGGCGTGGTTCACACCACCAACACAACCACAGCTAAACATAATCAAATAAAAACAATTGCAAATCCTTCTCTTTCTAAAGGTTTTTTACTTAATTCACCGCTTTTAGGAATTTATAGACTTTAAACTTTGTAACAAAATAGGCCTATGCAAAGTTTGTGTGTTAGATTTTCTGTTGTTTTTTCTTGTTTTTTGTTGGATAAGAACTAACTAGGTACTGTATTTAAATTGTATCGTATTTGCTTAATGTTCTATTTTGTTGGTCAGATTGTAAATAAAATATTATAAAAAAATTCCTTCTCCAATCTTAACATATAAAAAATCAGTAGATAACTACTGCAAACCACACACAAAAACACATTGTAAGTGAGTATGTAGGCCTACAGTAATACTGTAATATCATAAAGAATTGAAATAAACCATAATATACGAGTATAAACAGCGTTAATACTTTCATCCCCTATACATAGTACAGGGTGATTCAAAAAGGACTTTACAACTTTGAAAATTCATATAAATCTTATTAAACAAGGTACAGAGCTGGTTTTGGTGTTGTTTTAAAGGAAAACACTTCAAGTTTTTTTACCTTAAACTAAAGATGTTCTATGTGACTTCTGTTGGATTTGGGGAAAATAATTATTTAGATATAAAAAAATAGTGAAAACCGTTAAAAATTTGAGAGAAATTTACAAAATTTTGAAAGTAGGGCGTTTTTTTTACCGTGAAGGAGTGCGATTTTCGAAAAACGCATAATAATGTCTTGTAGGAAATTTAATTCCGAACCTACGTTTTTTTCTCAAATCTTTTCTAGCTCTTACCGTTTTCGAGCTATAGCCGTTTGAAAAAAAATGTGTTTTGTCGTTTTTAGAGGTCCGCCATTTTGGATTTTCGGGGGGTTTAAAATTAAAAAATGCGACTTTTTGGAATTTTATGGGTGGTTTGGAACCAAGAACTACAAGTGTGCGAAATTTCAACTCCATAGCACATCTAGGAGTGGGTGTATCGCACTCCTTCACCGTCAAATAACGCCCTACTTTCAAAATTTTGTAATCCTACTCAAATTTTTAACGGTTTTCACTATTTTTCATACCTAAATAATTATTTTTCCCAAATCCAACGGAAGTCGCATAGAACATCTTTAGTTTAAGGTAAAAAAACTTGAAGTGTTTTCCTTTAAAACAACACCAAAACCAGTTCTGTATTTTGTTTAATAAGATTTATATGAATTTTCAAAGTTGTAAAGTCCTTTTTGAATCACCCTGTATATGGAGAAAGTATTGTTTTCGACTAGTGATCATTATTTGCATTCGCAATCCGGTGGCTACTCACACCGCAATATTGTTTTCGAGTTTGAGTTTTGAGTGGATATATCCGTTTTGGGTCCCCATGAAACGGAAAAAGTGGTTTTCGGAATGATGTCTGCGTGTGTGTGTATGTGTGGATGTGTACAGAGCTACAGACCACCTATAGTCCGATTTTTATGAAATTTGGTATATAGGTTCTAATTCTTGGTATCACCAGGAGTTTTTTGTTATTTTTTTAATTTTAATTTTTAATGCTGATTTCCCTTTAAATAACGGAAATATCAGATTTTCTCAAAACTGGCCCGAACGATTTTGATAAAATTTAGTATGTTAAAGCCCTTCATATTCTGAACAAAATGGAACAAATTTCATTTCCGTAAAAATTACGGTTCACAAGTTTTTGTAACTTATGTCATTTTCTCATAAAACCCCATTAGGCCAAAATGACAAAAAAGGATTTTAAGAAAAAAGTCGGTTTTATTTAAAATGTGTTATGGTCCTTATAATTCTAAACAAAATAGTGCAACCCCCATTCCCCATTTCTGTAACATAGTATGGTTAAAAGGTTATTGACACTTTTGTGATATTTATTCACCAAAATATCACTTCTACCGTTTACCCTACCCATGATCAATGTTGTTGACAAGCTTCTGGGAGAAAGTATGCTGTTTATTTACTATAACAAAGACGACAACAACAAATAATTGCTGATAAAACTATAAAAAATAGAACACGCGTTGATGTAAAATTAACAAAACAGTTTACATAAATCATTTAATTTGGGCTTCACTTTGATTAAATGCCAATAGGCTCTTAAGGTCCAAATTTAGTTAGAGGCAGATTTTTGAACGGTATAGTCTAAATCTATAAGTATAAAAGAGGATGTTTGTATATATATTTGTTTGTTTGTTTGGCAGTGGGGAGTATGTTTTATCTATGGATAAACTCAGACACCGCTGAACCGATTGCCACGAAACTTGGTACATACGTGGAGAATGTCATGGAATAGGTTTATACACCATCAATTTCGTGATCCGTGCAATCGGCTCCGCCCCAGTGGCTCTGGAGTTTCCCATGTTAACCTTATGAGAAATGGAATTAATGAATCTTAACAGCTGTTTGAATTAAACAAGTTGGTTCTGTTCTATGATGTTCAATAGCATTAAAGTTACAAGGATTACCAACAGGGTGCAGCACTATTATTATTTTCTTTTACATTTATGACAACAGCTAATTTGCAACGAAAAGGTGAGTGAGCGTAGCGAACGAACTTCAACCTGGAGGCGAGTTAGCGTAGCGAACGAGCTCCAACCTAAAGGTGAGTGAGCGTAGCGAACGAACTTCAACCAGGACGTGATTGAGCCATGCGAACGAGATCATCTTGAAAATTAAGAAGTTAAACGGGACAAAGCCCGCGGGATTATAAATAGTCAAAGGCAAGACAACGTCTGCCAGGTTCAGCTAGTAATTTATGAATATGTCAAACCCTGCATGGATCCTGCAGCATGGCCTGTTTTTTCTAGTGGGGCCTTGATGTAAGGAGACTCCTTTCAACGTCTTTGCAATAAATACATGGGGTAGGGGTGAATATTCAGCTGTGGTCGGGGCTATGGCTATAGCATAGCTCCGAGCTGTGACACGGCCACCATTAACTCCAGGCCGCGGCCTATGGTAGAATTGGCAACGTTGCAAGTAGTGTTGTCTAGCGCCAGACGTCCCATAAGATAACATGACAGACATAGGTGACACCAGCCAAGGCCCACCAGCTCATTAATTCGCGTACTATTCATTTAAATATAAATTTAAGAATATAAATTTATTAAAAGATTGGAAACGAAACATATGGAATTAAAAACCAAAACATTGTTTAAATTGAATATATATTATTGTACATTAAATGGGAGTCAATATTTGCTTTTGTATTCTTAAAAATACACTAATACTACTAGCCGCTTCCAAGCAAAACAGCTACAACCCTACTTACAACCCTTCTTACGTTGCGATGTTACCCATGTTACCACTTCAAAGTCCGCGGCCTGGTGTTAAAGGTCGCGGTGGCTGTGGTACTAATCGCTTGAAATTACCACCTGAGATAACTGTGGTCAACATGGTCACCTTCTCAATGGCCAGCTTTATCGCATCCACTTTTTATGCTCAGTAAAAGCATAGATTACATTTATTTACTTGGTACTCCGAAAACACATTTTGTAAAAAGCTTAGTAAAAATAGACCGAAAAAATAAAATTCCTTACGACCACTGATGTAGCTAATGGGAAATACACCAAGTATTGTATCTAAGTATACAATTAATGACACACAGGAAGGTCATGACGTTTGTAGCAAGAGACATAAGTCCATGCGTTCAAGGTGATAGTTGCTTTGAACGAAGTTCTGGTAAACCAAACCTGACCAAACATTACTTCAAATCATAGTAGCAGCAATGATTCGATACATTTATTTGTGCCTCTTGTTATGTTTTCATCGTACCTTTACCAACACTTTATAATATAAAAAAAAAGTGAACACTTTTATTTTGAGAATTTATATTAATTTTTCCTATTGTAATATGGACATACAATATGTGTGATCTGAAAGATGAAGACTACAGCTTTCCAAATATATAAAAATGTCAAAAGTGAAAAAAATTGGACATACAATGTTTGTGCATATAACCATCGATATGTTGTTTAGGTTTAGTAACATTTAATATCTTAGTTGAGTGTGTCGTAGATAAAACATATGGCTTTGGCTTATTTAAAGTTGTACGCCTCTTATCGGTTACACTATGGGTTACACTCGTGTAAATTGTAAGTACATTGAATATATGGCATTCATTACTAATTTATAGTACTAATGCAAAAATAATCAATGGTTCTATCACTAGATTCTTTTTAGAAGCCTTTGGAAGTTTTTACTGACGACTGTCGTGTCGTTATTGGTGGCTGTTATGTATCTGTCAGTCAACAAGAAAGCAGAAAATAGAGTTAACACATAACTTAACCTTACTTTTGTTTGTTTGTATTGTACACTTTCGTCTTTCGTTTTGGTGTTGTTTCGGTTCGTTTAGCCTAGTTGGCGCTGACAGGACAATTTTCTTATCAACATTTAACAATCTAAACTTTAATTTCCAGTTACGAATGTAATTTGTTTTTGATTTAATACATTGCTACACGCTAGTTAATTATTGGTTGTCAGATGTATTCAGAATAATCCAAAATTGATTTGTTTACCTAACACTTTTTATTTGGGCCTATGCTTCCTTTTAAACTAAGAGTTTTAAGCACTAAAAGAATACCTCGTTGGTATATTTGTCCTTATAAAAATGAAGAAAAGTAACTCAATACCAAGCTTATTAACTGAACTAAACGGTAATATTGAAAACTATTTACTTGACAACAAGATAAAAACAAGGTAAGATAGGCATAATATGTTTGTAAAGAATAATTTAGCCTATTAAACTCATATTTTTAACTAAAACTATTTTGTTATCACACATTTTATTGCCTTATAATTTTAAGTTAATTTACAGATTGTACCTATTGATTTAAATACAAGGCCTATGAGGTGCTTGGTTTGGATACCACAAGTGCAAGTCCAATGTGATTGAAATAACAGGGACACTTTCCTATATCTGATGAATGAATTACAATAGCATATTTGTGGGCTCGGTTTACACAAGCGACAAATCTAGCAACTAGGTAGTCACTAGTTCCCAAGCGCAATGTAGCGGACCACATTAGTTAATCAAATGGAGCCATTCACACAAACATACAGCATGCGCCTATTAGCGTCATATGTAAACATTCCTTACTTTCTGAATAGCTCACATATAACAACTAACTACTATTAAGTGATGTTATGAGATGAAGAGGATAAGTTATAAAATATCAAGTCTTTAGTGTTAGTAGATCCTTAAAAATATAACATAAGTGAAGCCAGCTAACAGAGGCTTACGCTACCTACATAGCTTATGTAATGTAGGCTTACATTTTATGAGTTAAATTAATTATTTAATCTTCTCTTTCAGAAAAGGAGCTAGTCCTGGATTGTGGCTTTGTTTTGTCTTGCCAACGTCAGTAATTCTTGGAATTTGGAATTACCCAGACTGTGGTTATTTCTACCGATCAGCAACATGTCTGAGTGTTGGCTTGCTACTCAACTCCTTATCGATAATTTTTCAAGTTCATCATTCTACTCAGTTCCGTACTATTTGTTGTGTAATCAACTCCATCACTACCACACTATTGCTACATTACTTCACTGAGCATAGTAAGTTTCATTCATTTAACATATTTCAATGATTATTTTAAGTTTTACACCAGGTTTACGTTTTTAAGTTATTTTTACAGGTTTACCACAGACCTACATAATTTTTTTTTGTCAAGTTTGATTTATTACAAAAAATATGACTTCTGGACTGGAATTTTAATTACTTTAAAAAATATTTTTACAACAATATTTCAATTCATCACTAAAAATAGTGAAAAAAATAGTTTATAAGTTTTACTTGATTTTTAGTTTAGGTGAAGTAGGTTGATAGGTTAGCTTGTCTTTAAATTTCAGTTTTGTATACATTGTTAAGAAACATGCTTTGTTTGTTTAGGTATAGTTTTCACAGTGGTCCTTGGGATATTCAGTAGTTTCGGATTCAATAAACTACTTGTTCTTTCTCTGCAACTGTGTCCGCAAACATTTACATTTGGAGAAGCAGCTGTGGTCGTGGAAGCTGCAATCCTTTTCATTGCTTCTGTTGTTGCAATGCTCTTCACATTCACACCAGTTACATGCATCGATATATCAACAAAGATATTGCAGGTTGGTATTTTTTTCTTTAGCTGTAAGTTATGTCATTATCTTTCAAAAAGCTTTAAACAGTTAGCTTTAAGTCCCCTCTGGACTTCTGCTTCGTATGGCCCCAAAATCTCTATTTGCTTTAAATCTAAAGTGCAGTCTCTGAAGTCCAAGTATAACCAGTAAAATTATAAAAAAAGTTTCATATAAATGCAAAAACTTCTGGAGACCATTTTTAAACTGAATGTCATTGCAACTGATTTTATTTATAGAACTAAACATTTATATACATTTCTTCCCCTCACCCCCAGAATTGCGACCTTAGTAAGAGGGCGACGTAATGTTTCCTTAGTAGTTTTAATCTTGACAATTTTGATGACGCCATCTCATACTTGATCTTATTTGACCCATTGGCCACAAAGTTAAACAATTTCTCTAAATATCATTAAATGAGCATTTTGCATTTTTCAATCGGGACACATCATAATTTTCTGGAATTGTATGATCAGTCAGTTGAGTGTCCAGGTAGGTATGACGGGGCTGATGATCTTCTGTGGTTGTGTCTACAACTTCCCTCGGCTCAGGAAGCCCATGGAGTTCTACTCTTGTCTTGCTGCAGTTCTGGTGATCATTGTCGTCTTGCTGCATGTCTTGTTGAACTTCAGTTCTGTTTTGTGGATTTTCTACTTGGCGACAGAAGATATTCTCACTGTAAGTATATTTTATCTGTAAAAATATCCTAAAGACTATTTTGTGAAAGAAGATTTTTTGAATACAGAGACTGTTCTCCTTGCCTAATAAACTTATCCTATGTTACTTTATAAGTGAAACTTTAACTTATGTGTTGTAAAGGATACTAAGACATAGCGTATTTCTGTGCCTAGTTTTAGAGACTTATGTATTCACAGCTAAATACAATTAATTAGTGACTGCCAAAATTTTAACCCACATCTTCCAGGACAAAGATCTACATTTTTATCAATAGAATTTTATTACACAGAAAATTGTCATTATCGGAGTCGGAGATCACCCTTCTAAAAAAATAATTACAATAAAATATAAATAAACCCTCAAATCATTAGTTATTATAAAGGTTAGGCCTACTTCATTACCAATCATTGATCCTGTCAACTTAAACCCAAGATGTACACAGTTGATTTTTGGCGGGCTTCTCCCACTACTCTCTGCCATCGGCAGGTAAATCACTCAAGAGTTAGTTGCACACCACTTGACCTGACCAAGATGGAATTTAAAACACGGTGATGTCTACTAACTGGGGAGAACACCATAAACCAAACCATTTGCTTTTTGCCTCCTCCTCCCTCCACGCCACTACTTGTAATGCTCAATAAGCGTTTGCCACACAAGTAAAAGTGAAAGCTTTCCATGTTACTCATGATGACGGATATTGGTCTTTGAGGCGTAAACGAATAAACAGTAAAATTCTCCTTTTATTTTATTGTATCTCTTGACAAACTTTTACAACATTTGGCTATTTTTTCTATTTGGTGATTGACAGCTAAAGCTGGTTGCCTCGTGGGTGTTGGCAAGTGTTGTGGCCGTAGTGGCAGCCATGACACAGGTGAAGGGGGGCCGCAAGGCGTCCACCATCGTCAGAAAGTACTTCCACCTGCTAGCTGTGGCTGTCTATCTGCCGGGACTCTTGTTGAACCCTTGCTTGCTCTACCTGGCAAGCGGAATAATATTTGCCATTTTTGTTGGTCTTGAGGTCAGTATCGTTACTCTCCAATAATGTACCTATTTTAGTTGTTTTCTCACAAGTTATTTTCAGTTGTAAAACATTTTAGACTGTTTACTTTTACTTAGTGTTGTCTGTTAATTTTTAGGAGTATTGTAAAATTTTTTATTCTCTTAAAAAAGGAAAAAAAACTAAAAATGACATTTTGTTGTTATTGATTTCAGTAACACTAGCCATTCATTGTGTATTTTACCTGAATTTCCGATGATAGTCAATTAGCTGTGTTTTAAAATATTTTAGGCTGTAACTTTTACTTTTTGTAAGTACTTTGACTGCACTCAGTAATTCAATTAGCCACCAAACTCTTCCAAAATGTTGTATGTACCATAAAAATTTTAAGATAGTTGTATGATGGAAAGTGTTGAGTGGTATGGATCGCGAACAAATTACTGCTGCTTTGATAATTTACTGGCAGAGAAAAAGAGAGAAACGTATCCCTCTCCACTGGGTGCATCTAATTAATTTAAAATTTTAGAAAATGGGGATGTATAAGACCTCAGAAATGAAGAACGAAAGTTTTTCAACTATTTTCGGATGTCGTTTTATGAACTTCACAAAAAAATTGAAAAGTGACCTACAAAGACATTACGTGACGTTGAGAAATTGTATACAACCAATTGAAATGCTGACTGTGATTACAATACAATATAATACAATATTCTTTATTGTTAATTCGTTAAGAATGACAATAGTGTCAATACAATAGTGAATTGTACATGTCAATTTTCATAAAATTCCTTTATTGAGTAGAAGGGTCTTGCGATTAGCCACTTCTTCAACTCCTGGTGTAGCTTGTTGCCAGTCAGGTCTCTCAGGTAGTCAGGTAGATGGTTCCTCAGCTTGCAGCCGGTGTAGGAAGGTTTTTTCTCCCAAAGAGTTGTTCGGTGAACTGGTAGTGCAAATTTGGAGCCATGACGGGTGGTGTAGTGGTGCAGGTCTTGGTTTCTTGGGGGGTTTATTTCATACTTTATGGTTTCAAGTATGTAGAGAGACACCACTGTGAGGATTCCTAGGTTTGCGAATGCTAGTCTGCAAGTCTGTGGTGGTACAAGGTTGGCGAGGGCTCTTATGGCTTTCTTTTGAAGGACAAGAATTTGATCCATATTTTTTGTTGAAGTTCCTCCCCACACTGCCAAGCCATATCTAAGATGCGACTCTACCAGTGCGAAGTAAGCTGTTTTGGCCACAGAGCCTATGTAGTTTATTCTTCTGACGACATATATTCCAGTACTGATTTTTTTGCTTAGGTGGTTGATGTGCTATTTCCATGTTAGTTTGTTATCAAGGATAACACTGAGAAATTTTGTGTGGTTTTCTATTAATACATCCTCTAATTGAGGGACTATGTCTTTTTTCTTACTGAAATTCAGAGTTGTAGTTTTTGTGGGGTTTATTGCTAAGTCATTGTTCTTTGAGTAGAGGATAGCTTTATTTAAGATCGATTTTAAATTAAGGTAAAGGCCCGTTAGGTAGCTTTTGAACCATTCTAGCGCAGAGTTTCTTATACGGAGTCTTTCGAGTTTCTTGCATATCAGGTCGTGGCCTAGGCAGTCAAAAGCCTTACTGTAGTCAAGGAAGATGGCAGAAATGTATTGTTCGTTTTCTATCTGGTCTAGGACGTACTCAATTAGTGCTGTTATAGCTGAGGATGTAGATTTATTCTTCCGAAAGCAATGTTGGTTGTCAGTTAAGAGTTTGTTATGATTAAGATGTGCCATTAATCTAGCCATAGCAATTTTTTCTATGATTTTAGAGAAACTGGAGATGAGAGAGATGGGTCTGTAGTTTTGAGCATTTTCAGTTGGTCCTTTTTTATGTTTGGAGTATATTTTACTGACTTTTATGGCGGATGGGAAATTGCCTTCTTTAAATGATTTATTTATAAGATAAACCAGAGGAGAGATGAGTTCTTGAGAGCAGTGCTTTATCATCTTAGAGGGAAAACTCATCTATTCCACTTGATGTTTTGGCTTTTTAGGGAGTTTATCATCGTTTTAACTTCTTTATAGGATGTTGAAGTTAGGGTAAGGTGTATTGGGTAGACTGGTTCCTCTCCATTCAGCACTGTTTCAGGGTCTATAACGATTGCTCTGTTTTGGTCAAGGGTATTTTCTGCTATATTTGAGAAGAATGTGTTGAAGTGTTCGGCCATTTCTTTTGTGTCGTTTGTGAGTTTGCCATTTATTTCTAATTCTGTAAGGGTTTTCTCTTCACATTTTCCTTTCCTTTCCTTGTTTATAACTTGCCATAGTGCTTTTGGTTTGTTGTCAGCTTGTTCTATGAAGCTAGCTGTTGAGGACATTTTTAGGTTTCTTAGTTCCATGTCGTATGTCCTTTTTCTATTAATCATTTCTAATTTGTCTTTATTTCTGTTCGTTAACTCAAACTTTTGCAGAGCTTTCAAAAAGTTCTCTTTAAGGTATTTTGCATCACTGCAGTGGTGCCCTACGGTCACTATGCGGGTAAAAATCGTAAACGATTGATAATCCTATAATGTGAAAGGGGCCATAAGCTTCAATTTTCAATGGCAAATCCGATTAATAATCGGACGAGCAAAATCGTATAGTGTGAAAGGAGCATTACAAATTGTGCAAAATATGGAGTAATCCGACCCATCACAATGTAAAATACATGTTTTATTATGCCATTCATTCATATCAACATTATTCCACTGCACAGATAGTGAGGGTGGCCAAGGTAGCGCCAGTAGCTGAGGTGTTGGACTCTGTGTTCCTCACATTCGTAGATGAAAAGGACGCAGGTCCCGTGGCTCTAACTCCACTGTGTCTGATGGCGGGTGTGTCTGCCCCGCTGTGGCTACACCCAGCTCCTGCATCATCCCCAGACTCCCTCCCCCCTCTGCTGGCGGGGCTACTGTCAGTAGGCGTGGGTGACACGGCAGCCTCTGTGTGCGGCTCGTTGTTCGGTCGTCACAAATGGCCAGGTATGGAACAGATGTAAAAATATAGTGTGTACGTCTGCTTATCATGAAAAATACAAACTGCTGTTCTCATTAAAGTAAGGGTTTAAATTACTACAAGACCCCAATCCATTAACACGTTCAGTGCGGCATACCTTCAAACAGGCGCTCGATAATGGCGGCGAGGCCCGGGCGAAGCCCCGCAGCGCAACTGAATCGATGAACGCAATTGGCATTCAAATATTTCAGTCTGACGAATAAAAAAAGAGCAGCGGTGATTGTGCTGTGTTAGCCCGAGAGTGGACGTAGTTCACTGAAACACCCAAAGGTAGCAGCACTGCCTGGATTCGTAGCCAGTGTCTTTGTAAAGTGGCTTGAAAAGAAATTGCCGGAACCGGGACAAAAGTATTGCTAGACGGGATTTTACGGGAAATTTTAGTACCAACCTACACCAGACTAAAGCTTAAATAATCTAAGCTACAGGCTGGCAACGATTATAACGTTCCCCGGCAATGGCTGAGCTCACACTAAACTAATGTGGAGAGAGTGGCATGACGTCAGCTTTAGCTGATGTCCGCCACCAGTGCTAGTGTCGGACATCATCTGTTGATGATGCCCGCACTTAACGTTAACAACAGGCTCACCGCTATTAAAAAAAAAAAATTGTTGTTCTACATATTATATTACTTGTATTTACACAAAACATATTCCCCTCTAAAAGATTAGAATGCTTCCATTTCTATAAATCTTTTCCTAAGAAGCATTCTTTTTGAGTAATTAATTGCATTGAAGACTTGAATTAGTTGTATTAGTAAGTAATTTTCAAAACTCTTTGAAACCACTACTATCTCATTTCACTAATCAGTAAAAAATTAAAACAAAATGTGAAACTATCAACATTTTAAAAAGTATAAACTTTGTGTCAGGAGCTAACAACATAAAGAAGCTCTTAGTCTAGTCATAAAGAAAATTACACTATGGAATCTTAGTCTTTTGAATCTGGAGTCCAAACATTGATATAAGTCTTTGAAATATAGATGTAACAACTTACTTAAGAGACTACTTTAGTTTAGTAACTCTGGTTTGTTCAATAAGTACTATAAGTAGGTATTTTGGACTGTTCTCATAATCAAAATATGAGTTCTGTTATATAAGTTCAATCTACTTAAAGGCCCGTACACACCGGCGCGGGAACGGGAGCGGGAGCGGTAACGGTTCAGTTCCTGGAATTTTAGATGCGATTTTTGCGCGGGAAGATCGTGGCGGGAACTCGTGCTTCCACACAGGTGCGGCTACCAGACGGGAAGCGGGAGCCAGTACACCGCAGTGAGTGGCCATGCCAAGGTGTGTAGTCCAGTGATTCGAGTCAAGTTTTGTGAAATATTGTAATTAGTTTTTATTTTATTTACTTACCATGTCATCGTCTGATGAAGAAGAAGCCCTACTTTTGCTTGCTGTATTAGAAGACGAACAGGCGAAAAAACTTTGGGTGCATGACATAAATAAAGGAAGGCTAGCATTTGGAGAGTACCACACTCTCATGCCCCAATTGAGAAATGATGCTAAAAGGTTCTACATCTATTTTAGAATGACTCAAGAATGTTTTGATGAATTACTCAGTTTGATTGTTGACCTTATTGAAAAAGAAAATACCAACTACCGTGAAGCAATTAGTGCCGAGGAACGACTAGCAATTACTTTAAGGTAAGATCTACAGTTACTAATTATCTTTGTAGAGTAGTCGGCAGCTAAGTTGGGGAGTCTTTGTACCTATACTTATATTTAGCATTTTCCCCCTCCGCCAGCCCATTTTTCTTTATAAAAATTGGTTTCTTTTTCAGGTTCTTTAAATATATTTTTTATATATAGGTTTAAAGTTTCCCCCCCTTCCGGATAACTTTAATAGAAGGAATAACTGCCTACTGAACTGCCGAGCACTTTACATGGTACCGAAAATCTTACAGTCCAGTAAACTGTTATGTAATTGTTTACAAATATTAAAGTTTTAAATTCGAGGCAAAATTACTTCTAATACAAAGTAAAATCAAAAAGCAAACACTAATTTTATGTTAGGGACAATAAAAACAGTATTTTGTCACATCAAGATAATGTTATACTTAGAATAAAAATGTATTCTGCAATTATTCAGTAGGTCTAACATTTTAACTGTCCAATATGCCAAAGAATAAAATTTTCATGTACAAAGGAAAACTATAAACACAAGAGTTAGTACTTATGAAGTTAAACATTTCCAAAAGAATTGTAAACACGGAATCTTTGTTCTTCGAGCTCTTCATCATTTGGATAAGTTGGATCGAAGTCACGCCGAGTTCCTACTGAAGAGCTACATGATGTTGAAAGATCTTCTTCACGTAATTGCTCCAGTTCACCAAGATTGATTATCTGAGCAATCTGTAGTTTAATCTGAGCCTGTCTTGCGCGCGAGAAAGTCTTGATTGTTTTGGAATAACCCAGCATCAAATGGTCAGTCGCATCAAGTTGGATTTTATTTTTCCCCTCTAGATATTGTACCACTTTGTCAACGTTGTTGCTGTTGCCAGGGGACTGAGTTTTCCTTTTTTTTATACGGGGTTCGGAGGCAAGATCTACATTATCAGGCCTGTTAATTTCAATTGGCTCACGTACAGGAGATTGACCATCGGCTGAAAGATGGTCGTGGTTGTTATTGCCCACATCAGGTTCAAAAACTACCTCATTGTTTACATCTGTACCTTGAGTTTCAGTAGCACTTATATTTGAGACAGTTTTGGCCATTCCAAGAAAAGGCTTGAATCTCTCCATCTGAGAGGACCAAGGCCACGCCACATAGTTCCTCTTGGCCTGACCAGTGGTAGGCTTGATGGATTTGAGATGTTTCATGTAGGAGTCTCGAAGATTTCTCCATTTCTTCTTCAACTGTTCACCTGAAAATAAATTATTAGTTTTAGAAACAACGCAAGTAAAAATTACCAATGTATGTGATAAATTAAGTGTTTTACTATCAATTTATATTCAAGAAAATAAATTGGTATATGCATATTAGTCTACTTTAAAAATAAGGTTTTTCTTTTTAATTTGGTAAACACATTGTCTTCAACACTTTTCAATTGTTAGAGGAAACATTTTTATTTATTTGAAACAACAAAAACTTATTTTTATGTTTGGCCGTCAACTTTCGAAACACCCTTTATAACTTTTATTACACACCAAAACGCTATGGGTTCCTCAAAATATGTTTCTAAACTAAAACGTATTTAAAATATTTACTGCGTTTATATATATTACTGTGGGTTTACATATGTGTATGTTTCTTTCAGGTTTTTGGCCACTGGAGATTCGCACAAAACTATTGGACATAGTTTCAGAGTTGGATTTTCAACTGTAGGCGCCATCATTGAAGAAGTTTGCAATGCTATCATAAAGCGATTGCAACCTCTGTACTTGCCCGAACCTTCGGAGGAGATATGGGCACAATCAGCAGCATGTTTCTATAATCGTTGGCAATTTCCGAATTGTGTGGGAAGCATAGACGGAAAGCATGTGACTATTAAGTGCCCAGGAAAATCTGGTTCAACATACTTTTGTTACAAATACAAGTTTTCGATTGTTCTGTTAAGCACAGTTGGCCCAGATTACAAGTTCCTCTGTGTTGATGTGGGAGGATATGGGAAAAACAGCGATGGAGGTATATTTGACGAATCTGCCATGGGGAAAAAGTTTAAAACAGACCAACTAAATATTCCAGGAGAAAAACCTCTTCCTGGGCAAAGCCAAGGGACCCCACACTGTTTAATAGGTGACGAAGCATTCGGTTTAAAACGAAACCTTATGAAACCCTTCCCCCAAAGGAAAGCCCGCCAAGATCGAAGAAAGAGGAGGTACAACTACAGACTTTGTAGAGCGCGTGGTATAGTAGAGAATACTTTTGGCATTCTGTCACAAAAATGGAGACTGTACAACAGGCCTTTGGAGGTTAAGGTAGAAGTTGCTAAGGTTGTTGTGATGGCTACATGCGTGCTACACAACTTTCTACGAACAAAGGATTCCGATAAGGACTTCTTCGCATGCCTTGAAGAAGACGATGAAGAGCCAGAGCCACGAGGGGGTGCTTTCTCTAGCTTTAGCGCGGATTTCAAGAGCAGTTCCCGTTATGCAATGATTGTACGCGAGAGGTTCGTAGACTTTTTTAATAAAGGAACACTACAGGAGTGAAGTTGAATGATTGGATGACTGAAGTTGAATGATTGGAGACTTAGTTAAACACCTTGTTTTGCAGTCTGTTTATAACTTTTTTAAAGTTAAAAATACAAAATAAAATATTTTCACAACTACAACTATTGTTATTAGTTTTACCTACGACTTAGTTAAACACCTTGTTTTGCAGTCTGTTTATAACTTTTTTAAAGTTAAAAATACAAAATAAAATATTTTCACAACTACAACTATTTTTATTAGTTAAGATAAGCTAAGGCACTTTATTTAAAATGTTTTTGAAAGTAGCCGTTTCAGTTTAGTTCTTTGACTTGAAAAGTTTCACATAACAGCATCGTTAACTTACATAACACCATAGCTTTACTTAACAACATGGGTAACGGACCAATGAGGTTCTACAATTGAGAGAGAAGAAGTAAAATTGTAATGATTCGAACTTTAACTAATCAGCTGTTCATGACAATTTCATTGTTGTGTGGTGCATTTAGTATTTGATACTATGTTTCATTGCATATCACTGTCAGTGGCAATGAGAGGTTATAAACAAAAACATAACCTCTCTTGAAAAATTATGAATAGTGATTTCAGTAATTAAAACACTGGGTAAAGTTAAGTACGCAACTCGCGTAAATAGTGTTAACTACACGCGTAGAAGTTTTAAAGACACTCGCCAAGGCTCGTACCTTAAATCTTTTACTCGTGTCGTTAACACTATCTTAAAATACTGTACTGCCACGTGCTATAAAACAATTTAAATACCACAAATAATAACACAATCGTTGCGTAAACTTCTATTACCTAGCCTACCGTAACATAACCTAACCTAATCCTAAAGCGAGGGATAGCTAAAAAATGAAATCTGTCGGATTATGTCGGTTATTCTGTGGACACAACGGATAATTAAAACTGATTTGTTTACAATTTGTATAAATTCAATCTTTAAATTGAGTATAAACATGGGTTTATATGGGTGAAATTCAATAAACTACAGAACACATACATGCAGCACCCATTAAAACATCGACTACTATTGTACTTACCAGATGTATTTAGTGTCTTCCCAATGTCCTCCCAAATCTTGTCCTTCTTCCTAATATTCTTGTAGTCTTTGTGATTGAGGTCATACAACACAGGATACGTATATACAACTTCAAGCAAATGTTCAGTTATGCACGACATGGTGTTGTTGTTGTTGTACCACACAGCAGACAGGTGGAAACCGATTAGTTCAGTTTCTTTCCGCAATAATACTGGCGCGGGAAGCGCTGCAAACGCTGCATGCTGCGGGAAGCGCGGGAAACCGTAGTGTTCCCGTTCCCGCCTCGTGCCCGCTTCCCGCAGACCGCGCCGGTGTGATTGGTTTCATATCCCGCAATGGTACACGCTGCCCGCGCGGGAAATTCTTGGAATTAAAATCGTTCCCGCTCCCGTTCCCGCGCCGGTGTGTACGGGCCTTAAGGTCTTTTCACACCAGTGTCCTGGATATTTGGCATTTTTTTGTCTAAATAAATTGCTGCCAATGCTATCAAATGAGACCGTTCACACCGCACGTCCAGGATGTCTTTTTATTTCTATATATATTCTTTATATTTATTGGATCCCTCGGAGAGTGATTTTTTTTTTAACGTCCAGCCCATCACAATGCCCATTCATAGCCTAGCACATGGGCAGTGAACACTTCGTGCTTCGCTATATTTGGTACTGTCTATTGTAGTAACTGTATTTAAAGTGTCAAGTTTCTTATATCTACATTGATTATTAACAATGCTTCTTCAAACTGATATGGAGTAAAATAAGTTCTATATCCATCTTCATCCAGCTTCAGATCAATTATATCAATTATTTAACATGGGGACGCCACTATGTGTGTATTTTAACCCAAATATGAGAGAAGGATGAGTGGCGCGATTTTGTAGTCTTGTTAGTGACTAAGGCCCATATATTCCTTAGACACAGTTGTTAATTAATAGGCCAGCTAATGGCAACTAAGGGACCTACAGTTTATAGGGGAATCCGAACCACATTCTTGCCTTGGTATTAACGAATTGGTCTAATTATCAGGATAGTACTGCGGATAGTTGTAGTACTCACTAGTACAGAAGTTAATCCACACCAGGGAGTATTGCATCCACAGTGCATCTCTATAAATATCCACAATTCGTGACCTCCTAGTAGCTGGATTACAGGACAACGCCACTGTCCCAGTCATCATGCATCGAGTAATGTACTCACCAAAACTCTTCCGTGATGAATCCATGTACTTATTTTGGTAACGTGTATAATAATACTAAGTTGTCACTATAAAAATATCAATTAATTAGTTCATCCATGGAACAGGAGACCCGGAACACATAAGAACTTGCGGAAAAGACATATTTGCACAGGTAAAACAAATACACTAAGTCGGTTGGTCTCAGAATGAACAACTGGATGTTTGGTATGTTGCTGGGTGGTGTGAAAAGGCCTTTAAATGATTTTTTCTTTGATAGCTTGGATGAAATTCAAAATTTAGGGAATGTAGTCCTTAAATTACAAATAAAAATGTTTTCTTTTTACCAGATTCTCAAAGGACTAAAGAAGGGTCTGCAGCTTGTTTTATCTCCCAGTTGTTCTTCGTCATAGCCATGATACATTTCGGTGAGTATTTGTGAAAACTCAAGTTAACTCGACAGTTTTTTTTCAAATTTTTTGTACTTACGTCATAGACTAAGCAACACAAGTATTTTGTTTCTATTATTTTAGGGTTATTTTCATGATTTTTGCTTTACTGTTTGGTTATATAACTAGGAGACAAGTTATTGTTTATGATTAGATCGTTTTATTTGGTCAAACGAGGTTCTAAATGACTGAAATAACAAGAAACAAATTGTATACAAAACACAACCTCTACAGTGGGACGTGCACAATAAAATTGACTTCAGCTGTTCCATAAGGATATCATATCTACTAAGGGAGTATGTTTTATCAATGCTTACATTCTTTAAAAAAATTAAAATTTGTGTTTGAACCTCAATGATTGAAGTTGAGAGTTGAAATACAACTTTGAATTGTTTTCATTGTTGGGATAAAGCTGAATTCTTTTCATAAAACATGTGCATAAAAACTAAAAAGACAAGAACACTCTAGCTCTAAAACGGGTGGTTCTTGTAGAACATTTATGAAGGGAGGATGGATATAAAAAAGGTTAAGAGTAGAGTATCTTGTTACATCCTATTTTAGGTTCAAAGTAAAACAACATTGTTTCCTCATTAAAAATTGTCACCCTCAGTGACTATCATTAAAAATCAACCAACAATTATTGATTTCTTTGGTTGGCAATTTATTTAAACCTGTTTTTTTCTATTTCAGGTTATATTCCAAGAAACAACCTGTTACAGCCGATAGTTGCGATTTCCGCTGTCTCTTGGGTTGAAGCTACAACAGACCAAATTGATAACCTTGCCCTACCTCTGCTCATGTACATATTAATGTTATAAGGTAGACTAACGTCCTAGTCAATGTTGTAAAGACAACAAAAACCAGTGAGGGAAACATTCCCAAAAAATATTTATTTTAGCTACTCATGCGTAGCCTATGTAGTCCTAAGGTGAGATTAACTAGTTACTAAGGTGGGTGAAACTAAACAATATATTGTATTGCAAAGTATGTAAACAGATACAGAATACGTCGTAATCAGTCTAATGCTTCACGAAAATTTAACTACGATCGATAATAGCTTATTTTGCCCAAAGATCTGAAAGAATTGACACACCTGGAAATGTGTTTCAATTAGGAGTCCCAGCTGAAATGTTTCAGCCAAGACGCAAAAGCCATTTTTTAACACATGAAAAACAAGAATGCTACATTCTGTAAGAATGCTATAAACTTGTAAAAAAGCAATCTCAGACAAAAATAGTTTACTAAGTAATAAAATACTAATCACACCAATTTTTAAGGTTTTCTGAAATAATTATTTAGCGACAACGACAATATGTACAAATAACGTAGGTATAGTTCGGCCGCTTAGAAAGCGACCTCTAGCATTGGTTAGCATTAGCGCGCAGGTCGTTTTCTAAGCGGCGGAACTATAGTCAACACCATGTTGGTTGACATCTGGAAATACCTAACCATCATAGTGGGGTGAAACATTCTTAGCCTAACAAACTTTTCATCTTTAGGCATCTAAAAAAGTAATAGTTGTATAGTTTTGAAGATTTTTATGATTTTCAGGCAGCTTGGTTTAAAAGGTATTAATTTAAACCATCCTTGAAATGTGAACAACATGATTTCATTTAAATACTGTGATTTTTGCATTTACTAAAAAACTTTTTAATCATAACATAAAATATCCTAATATGTTATTTTAATATTTATTTAGTGTATTTTAGGGACATTTATATATATATGTAAGTTCTATATCTTAGGTTTATTGATTCCTGTTAGTTAACTATTATGAATCCTAGTCTTCCATGTCTTGCCCAGGAACTTTAACATAATCCCTTTTAATTTATCCCTTATATTGAGCAAAAATACCAATCCTAAATCAAAAATCAATCAACAGGGTATGCAAAATATTACAATATTAGATACTATCCGTAATACAAAAAAAATTCTGCTATTAAATATTGGTTGTTACTTTCTCTTTTTATACATAAGTATACCTAACACAATATAAAAAGAGTTATAACGTTATACAGTGTGCATCTGTTTTCAAGAAACAATATTGATGGGAAAAGTAAAGTTATTGTGCTATAGTGAATTTTTAGGATAAATATTTTCTTTTGTAACAAACAAAATACACTATTATTTGACTTGTAAAATTAATTCATTCAAATATGTCTTAGCAATTTTAAGACTGATATGTAAACATTGCTCATTCATGGACAAGGATTTTGTATTGTGAATTTCACAATAAATGTTGGTAAATTCTTTGGGGCTGAAACTTTGATTAAGCTGGAATAATACATTAATATTTGGCTGTATCAAAAACATATCTTTCCTTTATTAGGTAACCGTTTGGTTTATATTAAAACTAGCTGTAACCCGCGGGCTTTGCCCCGTTTAACTTCTTAATTTTCAAGATGATCTCGTTTGCATGGCTCAATCACGTCCTGGTTGAAGTTCGTTCGCTACGCTCACTCACCTTTAGGTTGGAGAGTGCCAGTAGAATATAATACCCATTATTAGGAAAGGATTCAAAATTGGACGTGTTTGGGGGGGATTTCAAATCCATGCTGCCCCTGGTGGATCATTCCAGAGAGGCCCCTCTATTTCTGATTCTTCGGTGGCTTAGAAATACTACACAATTTCGGTGTTGGTAGGGGGTTTAGAAATACATGAGGTATTGTTTCAACTCAATAAACTTGACCCTTATGATCCGATCGGTGAATAGACTAGCTAATAAATAATGAAAAATAGAAATAAATTTGGGTCTGCGGGCCAGAATGTTTTACTTCAGGTTGGCTCAAAATCGAGTTGCTGTGGAAAGTATACATAAAAAAAATTTAATTGTTAAACTACAACCTGTTTAAACTGCAATTGCAAAATTTGTTCAAACCGATTGTTTTTATCACAGTTGTGATTGAACGACTAAATTGTGAATGTCCCTGTCATTATGGTGAACATAACTGATTCGTCATGGTGTTCAGTCATTGGTTGTTGTGAACATCTCTTACATTCACAGCGAAATAAAGAAATCTTATATGATTGCGGAGACATCATCATCGTCTTCTGCGATCAAAGCGAAATTTGAGCATCATCCGCTGTCATCTTCAACCTCTCCTGCGATCATTTCGAATCGTAAAAATCTTCTGCGATCTCGGAGACATCATTATTGTCTCCCACAATAGCAGCAAAATCATTAACATCTCCCACATTCGCAGAGTCATATTATTCTTCTCCCACAATCACTAAGAAATCATTGTTCGACAAAATTATATACATCTTACACGTTCATGGAGACATAATTTTTGTTTCTTGTGATAGCGTCAAAACTTTTTACATGCAATCTTTGGAGATCAAGAAAATAAAAGCTCGGCTTAATAATATAATCCTCTAGCACATTTTATGAATGAAATTTATTTTACAATCAAAAGAAATATTCCTTGAGGCGCCGTGAGGAAAATACAGTCTTGTGTAAGTGTTTGATGATGCCTTAGGCCATCTTCACCATAGTTCCGAACTACTATTAAACTCATGTGTGTTAATTTTATGTTATTGTTACTTACTTACTTACTGCCCTGGCCATTTGTACCCCAGTCGGTACTTGGCCTCAGCAACACAGCGCCTCCATCCGTCTCTTTCTTCAGCATCCTCCTCTCCAATTCCCAGCCGCCTCATGTCTTGTTGCACCTGGTTCCACCATTTAGTCTGTGGTCGTCCCCTGGATCTTCGTCCCTCTAGTGTTCCCCTCAGAATGTTCTTCAGGTTTGACTCTTCTTCTCTTCTTAGTATGTGTCCTGCCCATTTTAGTCTCCTACTTCTTATTTCTCCGATGATGTCTGCATTTTTGTACATTTCTCTTACTTCCTGGTTGTGCCTCTTCCTCCACTCTCCATTTTCTAGCGTTGGGCCAAAAACTTTCCTCAATACTTTATTTTCAAAAACTATTATTTTTCTTTCTTCTTTTTTGTTCAGGATCCAAGTCTCTGTTATTGTTATTATTATGTTATTGTTACTGATAAATATTTATTTGTTTTATGGTATTGTGTGAGTAAATGTGAAATTGATGTGGTTGAAAGCTCAGAACAGACTTATGTAAACCATGTGTGTAAGATCAAGATACTGGAGTCTAAACCTTCGCTAAATCATCACGATGTTGTCCCCTGGCGCTGCGGAGTGGGGGAAATAATTCTCCCTCCACCTCCCCTCTAGACGGCGTCCAAACAAGCCCGCGTTGTTTTACATGCATATCATATACCTATGCTGCAGTTTTTCAATAAGATAAAAATGAATATTTATAAAATTAAACTGTCATAAACTAACCTAACCAACCAAACATGCTGATTATATAAAAAAAAATATATAAAATAATAATCGAATGAAGGTTTACTAATCGAAAAAATAGTTCTGTTGATAAAATAAAATTATAAATGCCTTGAATTCAATTTTAGAATTTATTAATTATGAAATTAAACTGTCATAACCTAACCAAACCAACCAAACTTGCTGATAATGAAAAATCGAACAAGGTTTACTAATAGAAAAAAAATAGTTCTAAAATTATAATAGCTCAAATTGAATTTTATTATGTTTCAATTAACAAATTAAACTGCCATAACCTAACCAAACTTGCTGATAATGCAAAAATCTTAGACAAAAAGTTAGTGCTACCGAGAGGATTCGAACCTGGTACCTTCAGATCCTCAGCCCGGCACGTTATCCATTAGACCACCGTGGCCTGTGGTTACAAACCGTATCGTTGCGGTAATGGTGTTCCCTCAGCTAATAGAATGCTTTGCTTCCCCCACTCCGCAGTGCCAGGGGACAACATCGTGATGATTTAGCGAAGGTTTAGCCCACTCCAAGGCTACTCCAAGACACTCCAAGGCACTCCAAGGCACTCCAAGGAGGTGAGGTTTGGTCACTCTAGTGATCAAGATGGCCCAATACCAATACCAACATGTGATGAGGACATATTTCATATTATTGGATTGATATGCGTAATGTATCAATATTAAATTCTAACATAGCAAATTTACTACAACTCATGCCTGCTAAATGCATTAGTTAGCCTAAACAATAAGTTATTGAATCTCAATTTTTCTTTACTGAAGTTATTCATGCAAGCTCACAAGTGTTAAATAAATAGTAGATCATAAGTCAGACTGTTACTGTTAAGAATTTACTTTAATACAGTAATTGTTACTGTTATTCATCGGCGCCTGCAGGGGGGGGGGGCATTGGGGGCCATGACCCCTAGTAAAAAAAACTAAATTTATAATTGAATATGGTTTTTTGAGTGATTACGGCTTTTAGACAGCCAAAAATCATGTTTTCACTTTTACAGTACTGGTTTGTAACACAGGAGAAATTTCCTGTGGGCCCCCATTCTGTTATTATCTTATAAATAATGTCTGAACTTAAGAGTTGTAACACAAATTTATAAGCCTAGTTAGATTAATTTACTTTGTCTACAGTTGACAGTAATGCCTCGTTCACACGGTGCGAGTTTACAAGCTACTCGCCAGCATGTAAGAAGCCGGCGAGTTGGTGAGTGTGCTTGTATTTGTTTAAACGGAGCTTGTCCACTCGCTAACCTGCAGACGTGTAGAAATACGCCGGCGAGTGCGCTTGTAGTCGTTCACACGATGCTTTTTCCACTCGCTCAGTAGCTAGCTTGAACCAAATCCTCCGACATCTTTGAATAACATGCACACAAGCAGTACACAAAAGTAGCGGCAGCGTCAACTTTTTCCAGAGCTTTTTTACAAGCAGCTTTTGAACGAGTATGTCGTTCACACTGAGCTATTTTACTAGCTGCGTCTAAAAAAGCCAGCGTGTAGCTTGTAAACTCGCCCTGTGTGAACAGGGCTTTAGTTTTAGTGGTATTTTGTAAACAAGTTTGAAAACAGCTCATTTCTCTGCTTTTTCTTTTGCTCACAATTTTGTTCTGTTCGGTTGTCATCTGGTGTGAGGAACCGAACATAACAACATTTAGGCTTTGTTTATTTAAATTTAAAATCAAACAACAGAGAATGGGCTGCATGTAGATTAAATTAATTCTTGCCGTGTAATACATCTTTAGTTTAAAAAACAAAGTAATTATTAACCCATTTAGATGATTAATATAATTTAATGTAATGGAGAGTATTTTTCCTTTACTGAATTTTGAGGTTAGCAATAAAACTCTTTATCCTGTCGCTAAGGGCTACGATTAAAACTAGGACGCTGGTGTCCGGGATGCTAGAGAGGCATTAAATCAAATGGGGGTGATTAGACAAGTGATGGCAGTGTCGGATGCTAAAAAAGCCACCTGACGCTCAATTTTGTAAATCCCTGCTGGGAAGCCGAAATTCGAGCGTCCGGTGAGTTTTTGCCTCCCGGGATGCACAAAATCGGTTGTGAGGCATTGGTTAGATGCTCTCATGGTAAGACCTGGACCCGGGTCCGATTTACTTTTTCAATTTGATGTCCCCATAGGCCAAAAATACCATCCGTTCAAAATGTTATAAATAAATAATATATATATATATACAGTTTTATATATTAAGTATCTGTCCACAAAACACAATAACTGTATAAATTTAATAACTTGAGTAATTTTTGTTCGATTTTGTTCCTCAAAGTGTAGGGCGGGACAATCTTGAATGAGTTCGCGAACCAGCATGAACAGACCAAGTGAACGAGGTTTTAGGGGGGGGGGGGGTTTATGGGGTAAAAAAGGGGTTTTTCTCATTTCTGACCCACAAAACACAAATGTTCCCAATTTCTCTAGACCATGTTAAAGAGTTTAAAAAATTAATAATTTTGTATACTTCAGTGTTTTAGTCAGTTACGGAGAAAATTCAAAACAAAAGTAGGCCTAAATTTAAAATTCCCACGTTTATAAATTATTAACTGTTGTAATTTTCTTGTTCATGGATATATTTTGATCAAACTTGGCCAATGTTTTTATACTAACACTAAGCTATTGATATTTTACTAAAAACACACTTTATTAGCCTCCCTAAAGCAATAAACCTGGGTATGTGTTAAACCTAACATTATTTAAATAGATATATACAAAAAGTTACATAACATTAAAATAAAATAGCAATCCGAGGGGCTAGCATCCCAACACAAGTCACGTCATTTTTGACTTGAAGTGGTATGCTAGCCTCTTGGACGCCAACATCCCGGACGCCAGCGTCCTAGTATAATCGTAGCCAAAATAATGCAGCTGGTAAGCTCATGATAATTACACATGATAACCAAAAGCTGTTGACAAAATACTATGTGCAATTCGTGTTCAAAGTCCTTTTTATTCTCGATACAATTGACATTTTTCTCTTATTAAAAAAGTAATACTTTGCTCACTTGCACATTCCTTTAGTTTCATCTCTGTATTATATCTGTCCAAAATGTATTTTCTGCTAATTTTAGAAATGTTATAATATGTTAGCAAGATCTTCAATTCGTTTGGGATATGGCAATGAAATCATGACAATTTTTTGTTTTGCCTAGTTAAATTTTTAAACAAAAATATTTTCTTAATGACACAAAAATTTTATTTACTAAGATTAATTTATAATTCTACCTAAATATTTTAAGGTAGTCATAAGCTATAAAATGGTGGAATATTTTTTAAATCCAATTAATAGAACTGGAGTTTTATCAAATTTTGTTATTTACCTATGAATTGACTAACAAAAATTATATTACACACATTATTATAGACACACATTAAACATTTTAGTCTTAAGTACTTATATGACTTTTCTATTCTTATGCCTAAGAAACACACTTAACAAATGTCAATGGCCCAGTGATAAACTTATTGATTTTGGTAATTTCACTGCCATATCCTCCCTACCAATAGAGGTTTTATATGTGTAAAGCACAAAAAAAAATAGTTAGCTTGCAAAAACAAATATTCTTGATTTATATAAAGTGTTTTTTAGTTTATTTTAGACAATAGTTGTTATTATAGTAAATTATTTTGTGGACAGAGATTATGTTTTCATCATACTGTCCGGAAAACAGCTGTTTTTAGTTCTCTAAATCGTCCGCAAATCATCGTTTTCGGGTAACTTCAAATAGGCAACAGAAAAAACAGATGGTAAATTGTTACGTTATACAATTATGAAAACGCTGCTAACTACACAATATTTTAAGTTATGTTTGTAAACAACAGACATGAAAAAATAGACAGACTTTGTACAACAAAGGTTATTTATTACCACAGTATGATGAAAATAGTTGTTCATCACACGGGGCAAAATTGTCTTTTTGGCATGTTTTACTAGCGAGGCGCAGCCGAGCCACTTTCGCTCCTAGTGATGAAAACTACTTAACTAATATTGTGAATACCATCCTTGGTAGATGAACTGAAAATATACTAAGAGTGACTTTGATTCTTTATTTATTAATTGTAGGAATATTTTATGTTATCTTTTGGATGTTTATATTATTGTTGATAGAATATAGTACCGAGTCCGGCAAAAAGACCTTCTGTATTTTTAAAAAGAATAAGAATATCTTTATTCATTCTTTAACAACTAGCAAAGCTAGAACCGAATAGATGACATTGTCAATGCAGTAAAGTTATCATAATTGAGTACACCTAGCAATAAGTATACAGAAAAAAAAATTAGTGAACATTAATTATCACTTTACAAGTTCTTTTTCTAAAACTTATCATTTAAAAATGTGTCAACTGAATAATACATTTTTTTTATCAAAAAATCCTTTTAACTTTTTTCTAAAGCCGTTCTCTATTATTTCCTTCAACTCGCTGGGTAGTGTATTGTAGTTTCCTCCCCATATATTGTGGTCCCCATATAAAGTAAGGTAACAAAGACCAAACAAAGAAAGTTAGACAAGACTACTTTTATTATATAGAGTCAATACTATGCCATTTTACGTTATTTGGTTTTGAAAATTATGTCTAGTAAATCGACCTCTGGCACACTGCCGAAGCCTTTTCTGGAAGTTTACCGTAGTTTGTTGTGTCATTTTTGGTGTATTATACTTAAAATGTACAACCTGGTACAGAGTGAAAATGTCTAGGTGACATCTCCACTTCCCTAAATGTGAGAGGTCTGTTTGCCGGACCCTGTACTTAAAACCATTAAATGGTATGTTGTTGAATTGTTGTCACTGGTAGTAGTAATCTATATTACACATGTTAATAATAAATTTGATAAATAAACTGATAAAAAAATCATTCCCATTGTATTCCCTGTTGTGTTTTTGTATTTCTAAAATTGACAAATTACGCTTTGAGTTAATTTATTTTCATTTTATCATCACTGCTCAAAACACTGTCTATACTATTTATTATTTGTCTCACCTCCCTCATTGGTTAGACAAATTTGTTTATTGTAAGTAAGAAAACTAGAAATTAAGGGAAAAAGGATAATTAAAGACGTGCATCATAATCATATATTACATATAATTCTACAAAATCAATAAATTCATATATAACAAATTATTGCAAACCATAATATATCACTGTAGTACTTAATAATTAACGTAAAAAGATTACATTACGCTTATTCTCTTCAAAAAATAAATCTTGAATACATAACATTACATAATGACCAAACAGAAAATGATAAATTGTCATACATTTCACACTCATTACATTAGTTTAAGATCTTTATTGTGTTTAGCCTTAGACATTGGCAACTTATAATAAAAACAATGTCTAAACTACATAATAACTTAATAACATATGCTATGCATAGATATAAGATATATTTCATATACTTGTGATTACAATACAGAGATAAAGCGTACATATCAGTAAAGCTCCTAATGATGAAGAGTTAAAAAAATTAATATTTTGTTTTTAGATCCAGTTCATTCAACAAGAGGAAAGATAACTTGACTCATTCAATTCCTCTCTACCAATATTTCATTTTTTAAATCATCTACACAATATTTTGAAAAATTATAAAATCAAATATTAGAGTCAGAATCCACATACACATTCAAGGAAGGTATGGGGGTTTTATTACATACAGTATAACTTATCTTTGGAATAATATTTTCTAGGGAAAAACCTATACTTTGTTTAATGATCATTCTAACTGATTTTGGAATGGAAATGGTATTTCTAAAAATCAATATTAACACAATTAGTTGCATAGAACAGCTGATTAACACCGGGTTTCATAGAGTCCGCTGCGACCGATGTAACGAACCCATTTGATGACATCATGGTCAGAGTAGTTCAGCTTGGGCTCAAACACCTTCAAGTAGCGGACTTTAAATCCAGAGGGAGCAAATGGAACCTACAATCATACAAAATATTTGTTCAATTTATGTTTTAACACGATCAATAAGGTTTTGAAATTTTATCATGTTTTCCTTAAAATAATGAATCTTTAATTTCTTCACAATACAAAAGTTAGTGAACAGAAAAATAAAAATCTGTTCAACTTGACCTAAAGAGGGACTTTTTAAAAATCTGTTCAATCAATCAAAGTTACTTGGTAAAATTAAAGTACCCCACACTGTAGCAAACCTTCAGACTAATTGAATTTCTATTTGGCTGATTTGATTTTCTTTAAAAAAAAATATCAAATTTATCTCGTATTCAAATAACATTAGGTTTAAAGCATTCCTAGGTTTGCTGGTATAATAACGTAATAAAGACAATTTTTAATTAAATGTTAACAGTTTATTATGAAATAAATAAATGTAATTAATATATAAATATAACCATATACCACAAACTACAATTTAATCATTTTCCCTCGGAAAAACATTAACGGATTTATTGAATTTTCTACGTAACCATTAAATATACACAGTGGCGGATCCAAGGGGGGGGGGGGCTAAAAAATAAATCCTCCTCTTGGGCCCTGGTAAAATAAATTTAAACGTACATTTCGTCCTTAAAACACGCAATGTCATAAAACAGACATCAATGTAGTTTTTATTAAACTTAATAAGCGATGGCAGGAGTGTATTAAGTTCCACATAGATAAAAGTTGTGGACAATAGTCAACGAATAAAACAATATAGTTGTACGCATCATCCAATTTTTACAGCAGTCAGCTGTTGACATGCTAGGGCAAAGCCAGCGCCGAGCACGCGAGCGAGGACTGGGAAACAGCTGATTTCCAGATGTCCCATAGTTAGTGTTGTCAAATTGTCTGCTTGAAAAATACAGAAATATAATACGTCTAATAACACTTGCAATAATACATTTACACTTATACTGTTGACTTACAAGACGGTAAATACACGTAAAAGTTGGTAAGTGGGATGCCTATTGGGTCTGATGATGATTGGAGTGTCCAATCGAAATCGATCACCACTTGCCAACTTTTACATGTATTTACCGTCTTGTAAGTCAACAGTATAAGTGTAAATATATTATTGCAAGTGTTATTAGACGTAATATATTTCTGTATTTTTCAGGTAATTTAATAACACGTACGATGCTAATCAAGAAGTTATAAATTGTCTGCTAGCCACTAACTTTACACAGGCATCAATAAGCAATCAGCGATAGCAACAGTAGCCTATTACATGGACTATATTAACACTAGTTTTCGTTAAAGTTTATATAGCTAATTGTATAGTATTTAGATGCTATTACTGAATTCGATTCTATACATATTGTGGCAGATCTATGAAATGGAGAAAAACGTAAGGTTAAAAAACGTACTTGCTCTCATGACATGTAACAGGTGAAATGGAAGATTTTATGACAATTGGGCACAGTTCTAGCCGTTAGAAATATCTTTATAAAGTCACCAAACGGCTTTAAGGAGATATGGCTTCGTAGTATACAGTAGGCCTATGCTTTGAAATTCATGAATGCAAGTTCGTCATATTTTGATTTTTTAAATGTCTAATTGCTCATGACAAAGACAAATAACAGGTGAAATGAGAGGTTTTTGGACAGTTGGACACAGATATAGACATTAGTAATGGCTTTAGAAAGTCAGTAAACAGCTTTTAGGAGGATATGGCCGTAGCCTACATTATGTTTTGAGATTTATGAATGCAATCGTCAGTTAGTTTTAAAAATGTCTACTTATTGATGACAAATAAGTCAAACGACTTTGAAAATTCCAAATTTTCCCGACCCCCCTCCTTTATTGGGGGGTGCTCCACACCCCCAAGCCCCCCCTTGACAAGGTCCTAGAACTGCCACTGAATATACAACCCTTCAACAAACTAAATTATATGGTGTTTTTAAGCTCTACAAAATGATATGGAAGAAGAAGGAAAACAAAAGTTCATGTTTTAAGGAACAACAGTGGGAAAACCCAATTCCTACCCCCCTGGAACGATCATGGTGGTTCGCGAACTTGTTTGAGTAAACTAAACGTGCTATACATGTTTCTATCAAATCCCAATAGATGATTTTTACTCAAGCATTTTACAAGAATTTGGAGGATGATGTTTTTGACCTCTACGCTACTTAAATGAAAGTAAATCAGTCTGGGTCTAGGTCTTGCCTAGAGACCTATTTGCTAATAGGGAAATACAGTACATTCACTAAAATTAAATTTCAAAGAATTTTAGGTGGTTTATCGTTAAGACTAAGAGAGAGTGAATAAAAAATAATTAAATATAAAATAAAATAACATTTAAAGACAAACACACCACTTTTAATTGTCTGATCCCACCAAAATACAAATACAGAACAAATCAAAGTAAATGAACCAAGGATAGAAAAAGTTATTTCAGACAAGGAAAGAAATTCATGGTGTTAACGGATGAACAGGTACAGAGAGAACAGGAAACAGAAGGTGAGAAAACAAAACTCTTCACATTAAAATGACTTAAGTTGTCCAATGTTGGCCATAAAATTAAAATCTATATATTCAATACAATAAGGGGTTTTTTATCTGTAGGATCCCTTTTTCAGCCGTCCTACTAAACAGATTTTTACAATTCAGGTGTCATTTTAAAGCTTATGATCCAGCGGAGGGTCAAATGGTAACTTTTATTTATTTATTTCTAAAGTTCGCTTTCGAAGATTTAGTGATGCTGACCGACTTTCTTTATACCAGTTTGAATATTAATTTATTTGTGCTGATCCCACAGTTGAATGTTTTACCACATTTAAATTGCATACAAGAGACAGAAAGGTTCATATAAGTTGATTTAAAAAAAGCAAATTCTTTGATAAATGTAACCTCATGGAGGTAGGTAAATCACTATTAATGGTGTAGATCCAAAAAATTTATATCAATAGTTTTATTCACCCAACAACTGTCTTAAGCCAGAATAATCTTAAAAAAGTAAATGGGTATGGCAATGTTCGTTTTGCCTTGGAAACAAATTTTGAACCCTATTAAAATACCAAGTTTGAGCGTGGGTTTCCCTGTAAATGTATCATGTTAATAAGTACAACACACTAATCTAATAAAAATCTCTATTCTAAAATGCTAAACACAAACCTCAAAGTTCATGGAAATTGGTGGTCGCGTCCACTTTTTCTTAGTGTCAGTTTCAAGCAGTTCTATTTCAGCGCTCAATTGAGTCTCTTTCATCCCAGCCATTCTCTTGATCCTAAACACATTATTTGGTCAATTTAATTAATGAGCACATTCTAATTTTTTATTGAAGGGTAAATTTTTATTTTCCCCCTGCCTTATCTTTCTAGCCAACTATATCTATCTACATCTATCTATCTATAAAGAAGAGGTGGTGTCTGTGTGTTTGTATAAGATAAACTCAAAAACTACTAAACTGACTGGGCTCAAATTGCACACAAATGAAGCTACAGGAGAATACCGAGGATACAAATAGAACTATTCCTGCTTTGATATTGGCCTAGGGCTCTGCGCCGTGGGCTTTCAAAAATCTGTGGTTAGAGATTTAAAAGTAAATATTGATTGATGGTATCCATGGTAACAAAGGACAAACCTACAAAGTTTAAAAATGTAAACAAGCAGAAAACTAACTGTCAAAAGAATTTTGATTTCACAATTCCACACACGGGGTTGAAACATATTAAATACTGCACGAATTAGAACAGAAAGTGTATGGATCATAAACATAAATAAATGATATCACTCGCCCAAAATGTAAATATAATTTAACATTACTTAAATAGAACTGTCAAACTATGTATCAAGTATAGGATTCTTTCAGTTACGTCATTTGTTTATGTTTATTGATCTTTCAGTCTGTTATGTTATAATATTTGTTAGGGATGGACGGGATTGAATTTTTAGTTCGGGACGGGATTTTTATTTCCTTCCCGATTTTCGGGACGGGACGAGACGGGATTTTTTCTGTGCATAAAAAGAAAATCTTGAGTATTGCAGTTACCAAAAAAAGACATACAAAATCAATTTTTTCCGTTTGTGGTACTGATCTGTAAAAACCAAAAAAAAATGGGTAACAATATACAGGTAACTATAGAAACTTGTGACTCACGGTCACGGTGCGATCGTCAAAATGACCGCGGTCACGGCATGATCATCAGTATGACTCACGGTCACGGCTCGATCGTCGGCATGACTCCGCGGTCACGGCGCGATCGTCGGTAGGACTCCACGGTCATGTCGTGACCGTCGGTATGACTCGGCGGTCACGGGGTGATCGCCGGTATGCCTCGCGGTCACGGCATGATCGTCGGCATGACTCCGCGGTCACGGCGCGATCGTCGGCATGACTCCGCGGTCACGGCGCGATCGTCTGCATGACTCTGTGTTCACGGCACGATCGTCGGTAGGACTCCGCGGTCACGGTGCGATCGTCGGTCCAATAATCGCGGTCACAGCGCGATCATCGTTATGACTCGCGGTCACGTTGCGATCTTTGGTCCAATAATCGCGGTCACGGCGCGATCGTCGGTAGGACTCCACGGTCACGTCGTGAGCGTCGGTATGACTCCGCGGTCACGGGGTGATCGCCGGTATGACTCGCGGTCACGGCATGATCGTCGGCATGACTCCGCGGTCACGGGGTGATCGCCGGTATGACTCGCGGTCATGGCGCGATCGTCGGCATGACTCCGCGGTCACGACGCGATCGTCGGCATGACTTCGCGGTCACGGGGTGATCGCCGGTATGACTCGCGGTCACGGTGCGATCGTCGGTAGGACTCCACGGTCACGTCGTGATCGTCGGTATGACTCCGCGGTCACGGGGTGATCGCCGGTATGACTCGCGGTCATGGCGCGATCGTCGGCATGACTCCGCGGTCACGGGGTGATCGCCGGTATGACTCGCGGTCATGGCGCGATCGTCGGCATGACTCCGCGGTCATGGCGCGATCGTCGGCATGACTCCGCGGTCACGGGGTGATCGCTGGTATGAGTCGCGGTCATGGCGCGATCGTCGGCATGACTCCGCGGTCACGGCGCGATCGTCGGCATGACTCCGCGGTCACGGGGTGATCGCCGGTATGAATCGCGGTCACGGCATGATCGTCGGCATGACCGTCGGCATGACTCGCGGTCACGTTGCGATCTTTGGTCCAATAATCGCGGTCACGGCGCGATCGTCGGTAGGACTCCACGGTCACGTCGTGAGCGTCGGTATGACTCCGCGGTCACGGGGTGATCGCCGGTATGACTCGCGGTCACGGCATGATCGTCGGCATGACTCCGCGGTCACGGGGTGATCGCCGGTATGACTCGCGGTCATGGCGCGATCGTCGGCATGACTCCGCGGTCACGGCGCGATCGTCGGCATGACTTCGCGGTCACGGGGTGATCGCCGGTATGACTCGCGGTCACGGTGCGATCGTCGGTAGGACTCCACGGTCACGTCGTGATCGTCGGTATGACTCCGCGGTCACGGGGTGATCGCCGGTATGACTCGCGGTCATGGCGCGATCGTCGGCATGACTCCGCGGTCACGGGGTGATCGCCGGTATGACTCGCGGTCATGGCGCGATCGTCGGCATGACTCCGCGGTCATGGCGCGATCGTCGGCATGACTCCGCGGTCACGGGGTGATCGCTGGTATGAGTCGCGGTCATGGCGCGATCGTCGGCATGACTCCGCGGTCACGGGGTGATCGCTGGTATGAGTCGCGGTCATGGCGCGATCGTCGGCATGACTCCGCGGTCACGGGGTGATCGCCGGTATGAATCGCGGTCACGGCATGATCGTCGGCATGACTCCGCGGTCACGGCGCGATCGTCGGTATGTACCAATCTAGACCCTTATACTGAGTTTTATTAGAATTATTTTCTAGATATATTTTTGTGTTATAAGACGTTTCTTTTATTTACTTTCCGTAAATTTAATAACACGTACAATGCTGATCAAGAAGTTATATTTTTGTGCAAACAGTAATACAATACCCCTGCCGCAGCAAACCTATCGACTAAGCACAAATTAAATTTAACAAATTACAAAACATGTCTTTGAACTGTATGATACTACATTACTCACTTCCACACAATGGCGTTCTCAGATGCTTTGTACTTTGCTTTGCCTTTCAGACAGATGAGTTGTACTCCAGAAGTGTTGAGTGGTGTGGGGATCTTTACCTCCATCTTCTGGCCCAGTAGCGACGGCTTGAAATTGCTCTTTAGTACCACCTAGTGACATGCATGAGCTTTAGTAATAATGTTGAAGGATTGTTGCGGACATTTTCCATTTCGTCCTCAGGTTAGAGAATACTTCAATGTTTCAAACATAACCAGATTAGGCCAACAAAAACATATAATATACCTTAACTATTTTCTTTGGCTGTGTATGACAATCATAACCTTTAGATGACCATGAACCATACATTAAATAGTAGTTATAAATTAGTTTTTGTAACCAACATAGAACACAATGGTTTTTAAAAAGCTTCCGCTGGACAAACATACAGTAATGACAATATAATAATTAGTTAAATGCCTAATCAGATGCACAAAAAATTCATCTATAGGATTTTTACAGGAATATATACCTTTATACCCATCAACTACAGTAGTCAAAGCTAGTCTGGTCGCGCTAGGGCGGGGGGTATAAAGATAAAGGGGAGTGTTTATTGCTCATTTCCAAAAACATCTGGACCACACGGCTCTCTGGGGTTGTTCAGGGCCTCAGCACTGTCTTCATGGCTTTGGCGTGGGGACGGTTAATCGGACGGCGCCCAGACTAACTGCAACTAACTGTACACCTGAGGGGTTCATTTAACGCTCCAGATTAAAAGTGTAAGCTAGATTTAGTATTACAAGTTTTTTTTTTACAGTACTGCTATCCTACTTTAGCTAATTAAAGGTGAATTATTCCTAGGATCACCTTGACTTCCATTCTAGTGCGTCCAACTTCTCGCACCAATGGAATAACTCGGAATGGCAAAGAGATGTCCTTGGTTGTGCGGTATCTGTAGAAAAAGGTAAATTCGTACATAAATTAAAAAGCAGGATTACCAACTTCGTATGTGTACAAACTAGACACTAAAGTTTATAATAACTCCACATAATAACGATGATTTCAATTTGAAAAGAGGAAAGTTCACAAATCAAATTCAATGACATGATGACTCATTTTGTGTCCAGGCTCGCCTTAAGAAAATCTTTAAGCACAAGTTTGTTGCACTTGAGCTCAGCTCAGATGAAAATCTAGAGTTCACACTTTCAATATGGAGATCATTACTTTTCTAACCAATCAAGGGCTGTCTATAACATAATATCTTCATCGTGCTCCTTGTTGGGGCGAAGCAAATCAGTCCAAATATGAAACCAAAGCGATGTTCTTCACTTCATCCACTATTTTAGTATTTTAGCCGGTTCCCACTCCTATACAATGATTAGTCTTGTCATAGTAGCCCAAAATGCAGCGAAAGAAGATATCGTTTCCATCAAGCATGAATTACATTCTGAGATTAGGTTTCTGTGTGAAAGGAATCAATAGTTATTGAAATCCATTGCCCTTTGACTGAAGCTGAAGTGTTTAAACGTGAAAAGGTACATGAGTGTTTTAGGGATTTCACAGGCCATACACATCTGCTCGATTGTAAGAGCAGTAGTCGGTGTTCATCAGTTTCCAGCAAGACAGTAATTGAAGTTAAGGAAATTTTGCTTGATGATCCAAGTGTTCTAAGACTACAAGACTACCATAGTTTATAGTACCATACAACTCTGTTTTTTCCATCAACTGGCGAATTACTTCCATAGCGGTAAACGCCTTGAGCCACAGATATCTACAACAGAATGCAAAATGTAGCTTGGATAGCTGAGTGGTTATGGTGCTCGCCTTGTAATCAAAAGGTCGCCGGTTAGATCCTGAGAAAAGTGATTAACAGGGTGTCTACTACATTCTGGATAAAAAATTCATGGACAATTCCCGTACATTTAAGGACCTTTGTCGGTGTGATTACAGAATAATATTCCTGATTTGTCAAACTGTATTAATCTTGTTCTTCGTAGTTGTTCCAGAGAGAAAAGTAAAATATAATAGACAAGAATTAAATTTCAAAATAGAAACTTATTGCAGTAAACAAACATATACTTTAGGTAGGCTACAGCTAGTGATGTGGGCTGGGTAAATACCCAGTGGGTAGGTAAATATAAATTGGGTATTTACCTGGGTATTTACCCCAGGCCCGGGTAAATACCCAAAAACTGGGTATTTATAATTTGTATTCAAGTTAGAGAAGATTGAGATGTTTTTTTGCAATTATTACCCTGTAAGGATAGTAAAATGATAATAAAATGTGTTAAACAAAATTTCATATGGACACTACTAGTATTTTACTTCTCGGTATAATCGCCATAAATACCCAGGTCTGAGCATAAAGCATAAATGCCCTGGTCGCATGGTTGCACTGGTCCTGACTACTTATAATTTTTTTTTTTCAATGATAGATAGAAGAAAAATAATTTGTAAAGTAATAGTTATTATTTAGAATAACAGGAAAATTTAACCTAGTAGTGGCCTATGTGTAAACAACTTAAGAAAATAATTAAAATTCAAACTGTAGGATGGCAGGATTTAATAATATTTTTGTTCTAGATCTTTTGTTGGTATCAATGGTATAAAAAAAATAATTTCATAAACTTGTGATACAAAAAATTTTTGGGGACATCGGTTTAATCGGAAAACCCGTTATCCGGACTAGCCTCGGTCCCGAGGAGTCCGGATGAGAGGGAGTCTACTGTACTTTCAGTATTCTGCGATTCTGCCTATATAAATCAGGCTTTGGGTCTGTCTAGCCTTCCAAGCCATTTACACAATACAAATTTTAACTATCATAATTTAATAACAGTAGAAGTAGGTTTAGGTTCACTATTCCTCTGATGAGGTGTTGTCTTGATTTCATAACAAAAAAGTGCTAAATCATTCAATAAAAGGTACTAGCAAAGCTTCAAGTTACTGTAAAAGGTGTTATAGACTATCCAAATTTATCACGTAACGATAACAACAATATTTAGGGGTAAATATGAATTAATTTCAATCGATTTCATAAATACCCAAAATACCCGGGTATTTCTGGATTATGGGTATTTACCCGGGTAAATACCCAGGGTATTTACCCCGAGTTTTAAATACCCAGGTATTTTACATCACTAGCTACAGCTTTTATAGTTTAACAGAAAAACGCAATCATTGTCTCCTGCAATAGCGACAAAATCCTAAATATCTCCATCGGTCACGGAAACATCATAACATAGCTTATCCGATGCAGGTGGATTAATTTGGCATTATTCGCCCTGGCACAACGTTAGGTTCTCGACTACTTTTGAAAAAAAAATCTTTAATGCATAATGAATATATTGTAACTCGGTTCTAGGTACAAATCGGTACCAGTAAGCACAGAGTAAGATTATTGTCTTTTCATCTGCAAAGCTAATATCGACACATAGCAATCATTACTTTATCTTAGGCTCAATTACATTTTCTTAGTATATTTTACAGCACTTTCAAAGAATCAAAATACCCAGGCCTAGGCCTAATTATTTAGGAGGGCCTATATAAACTGAGAAACAAACTATAAGGTTATACAGCAAAGTCACTACAATAAGATAGTTAATAATAGTTAATAAGATTTAGATTGCTTAAAGCATACAACTCAATAAATAAATATGGGAAATAAAAAACATTGAAACCTGACTGCCAACAATGTAAAAAGATACAGAAAATGCTATGATATCATTTGAAACCAAGTAGGCCTACGTAGTGATAAAGATTTAATGCAAACAATGATGCTTTTGGTTTTGTCAATTGAAAGATAAAATATCCATAAAAAAAGGGTTTAATTTAGTTATGTTTAACATTGGTTACATGTTTTATATGAAACCATAAACAGTTTTATGGCACTAGGCAATGGCCAGCGGCAAATTGAAGTACAAGTAAGAAGTGAAATTTAACAACCATTATAAAACTATTATTTCCATGATAAAATATGTTTGGGATCTAATAATGATTACCCTAGTCTATCTATCTATCTATATATTAATAGGCAAGCATGTTTCTTTAAAACCTTTTTTCTCAGCTCGTGTGTATCGTAGGGAAAATCTACGCATACCGTTAGAAAGCTATTTTCCTGTAGGTGTGCAGAATCCCTTTATAAATTAAAATAGGCTCAAAAATAAGCACAAAAAATGAATTTGAAATTTTAAAAAATTAACATGGGTCTTATGGGTTGCTATGGTGATGACGAAATAACAACAAAATATAAACAGAAAATCAAAACAAATGGAAGACATTCCAATCACATGTTTTATTTACAGGTTGGGGTGAAAATAGAGAAGTTTGCACAAAACATACTTTTGGTCGATTTTTCGACCACGGGGCGTGCTCTCGTACTTATTTAATACGCAAGCAGGTTTTTTGTGACAATTACTCCTCCGAAACTACTGAACCGATTGACATGTTTTTGTTGTCATTGGAAAGAGGGTAACGTGAAGTTGTGCAGGAAACTTTCTTTTCAGGGAAATAATGAGAGATTGAGGCCCTGGGGCCCTTTAAAGTTTCGTATTTCTCCATAAGGATAACATGGGAGATAATTTTTATTTACAGAAACATATGTTTGTTACTTGAAAATAGTCAAAGTCTACTACATAATAATTGCTGGGTATTATGACTCTTAATGTATACCTACTACATTTCAATCAAGGATTGTGTACCTTAATGTTTACCTATAATGGGTCTTACTACTTTATTTTAATGCTGGGAATAGTAAAATTTAGTGGAGAATAATTTACCATGATTTAGAAAACTTTACTATTAAATTTATGTATTTAAATCACAAATCTTTGACATTATTAATTCATTTGAAACTAAACAAACAGCTGATTGACAAATCAAACAAATCATCTACTTCATGTGATTAATGCTATTACACAAACATAGTTTTTTTTTTTTTTACCAATATCTTGATTCTTTTTTACTTGTGGGTGTATTTTGAGTTTGAAGTTATGAAAGCACCAAGCCAAGTAAGTTTTATCTAATTTTCTTTATAAACTAACAGTATTAATGCATTACTACATGAACTTGACAAGTCAGGTAATTAATTGTCAGTATACCAAGGGGAAGAAGAGTGGGTCCTTGAAAACAGACGAAGGCGGAGACACCCATCTAGAAAATCCAACCGAGTTTTTAAATATAGAGGTCAATGGATTGCCAAGACACAGATTAGACTAATAAAAGGGGGTAGTGGTTTTATTGATGAGGAATATTAACACATCAAAAAGGGCCTTATTAATGGCACAAGGCTTCATGTGATCAGAATGGTTAACAACTTAATAGAATGTAAAGTCTTAACTGGAACAAGTGAGTGGGGACATATTTGATTTCGAGGATAAAGATTTACCCAACTGAAACAAACTTACCTTTTAAAATGGAAAGATGCTAATTTCTGTTACCTTTGGCATTTGCAGCGCTGTTCTTATCTTACCCAGACCAATTTCAGTCATGAGCAACTATATTATATGTTGTTTTAAGTAAGGCTACATCTTTTAATAGGGGTACACTTCCATATCTGTTGGCACAAACAACCAAATGAAAATATCGATCGGTATTTCGATTATTTGATATATCGTTTGGTTAGTTAGGTAAGGTTAACCTACCCTAACTAACCAAACATCGAATAATCAATATTACTCATTCGATTGTTTGTGCCAACAGATATATGGAAGTGTACCCTTTAATTAATAGGATAACTTATTCGTTACGGAAAACTCTGACCAGGGTAATCTTCCTGAAGGTAACTTTAAGGCTAAAATCGTAGTATTCATGGAAGTGCTTTTGTGATCAAAATATTGTTTTTTAGTGTTTATTTTTAAAAGTGTGTTTTCTTCAAGCAGCATTTTTATGACCTTCAAAATATGCTACATAGGCCTATTGGTTTGATTAATAAAATGTTTTGTTAAATGTGTTTTAAAAATCTTTAAAAAATAACTACCCTATAACCTTGGTCGCTGCCTATAACATACTTGAACTTGAACACTTATTAATTTACTAAATATAGTACACATACAGCTAGAAAATGGCTGGACTGCTTCCCTTCCAAGGCTTCATTATTACTGTTTAATTTTCTTCGTCGAGTCTATATATAATACGATGAATTGGTTTTCTAAATTCATGTTATTTTGCGGGGCATTGAGCCGCACAGGTTCACTAGTAATAAATAAATGTTGTAAAGGAATAAAAGTGATACAGCTTTAATGAGCTAAGCTACAACTGAATCAACAGTTCTTGGAAGTACTTGATTTGACACTTGATTGTCGTGATAAAATATTAATGGGTTTGAGAATGCTAATGGGGTTTTTATTGCATATTTGGTTTTTGTTGGGGTTTTTATTACTCTAGTAATAAATTATGAAAATGTAAACAAACATCTGATAAACCTTTTATGTGCTCCTAACCAACTAGCAATCGATAAAATTATGGCCCTTTAAAAATTTAAGGACATAGTCTGGCATTTAAGGACAATTCCCGTACATTTCATGGCCAGTAAAAAATTAAGTACGATTCCCGGTTTTCCCGGATTTCCCGGTTGGTAGACACCCTGGATTAAGTGAATAGGTTATCAATGGTCCAAAACGTTCTTGAACAACGGGGGGGCTTGAACAATAACTGGTCCTGGCTAAGGACCGATGGTCTTAATCAGTAACAAAGGTAGACTTATGTTTCATTAATATTCAGCTTAAAATACATATCAAAGTATATGTCACTGTCTTTAAGAATTTACTTTAATTGAATTCATATACTTGACAAGAGCGTTGATTTTTCTTCCATCGTTTTTAGCTGCTTTGAAAAGACTAATCCTTGCAAAGGGGAGTGAACTGGCTAAGATTTGTAATAGCTTGCCTGACTGTAAAAATAGCTCTTTGGGGACCTTAATTTAGCGTAAATCCTCGTCACTCATTAGACATAATATTTATTCAAAACCTACCTCATGAGTTCAAATTCACCATCAGGAGGAATGAAGCTGATGGAATGTTCAGTTTCAAACTTGGACAGTTTGACACACTGATGGAACTGGCAGTCGTCGATTACTACGACAGGCTTGCCAGATCGAGCTGGATCTTCTCCTCCACCAGCCACACTTAGTCCTCCTCCACCACCCTGTACAGAGGTACAGTATCCATTTACTACTAGAGCACTAGAGGGTTGGTAACCTTGGAATATTAAATCAATTGAAGAAGCCATCAACTAAGTTTGAGAGACTGGAAATCCCAAAATTACTTAATTTACAAATAATACCACGGCTTACCTTCCCCTTGGCTTCCATTACGATCTTGTCATTGATACCGAACTTGCATTCTGGCATCCCTGAGAGATAAGATTTCATCACTACTTTCCCAGCCACATGAGCGGATAGTACTTGTCCTGAAAGGAGAGACAGGTAATTAACTTTTTAAGTTGTTAAGTCAAGCATTAGGTACATAACAAAGGCCCCCATTCAGGTTATCCCATAAATGTTGACATTATCACAAGATACATTTTGTGTAAGCTGAACTAGTACCACGTGTAGGCCTGTAAGTTGTATTAATACATAATCAATAATGTTTGTTTGATATTTTATTATTTTAAAAAATCAACCGAAGAAATAACGGATTAAGATTAAACTTTAGGCTACTTAACTTAACTTATAAAAGCATCTTAATCTAAGATTATTGACCAAGTTTGTTAACCCTTTTGCCGCCAGCATTTTTTCATTCGTATTATCGAGAACCGCCGAGGACAAAATGCTTTAATATAAAATGGCTATAACTTTTTTATTTTTGCAAATATTTTGATAAAACCTTATTTTAGAATTGGAATAAAATTGCCTTTATAAAAATATTATATTTATAAAGGTTGGAATGGATTGTTTTATGTTAGGCTACCAAATGTAAGTAAAAAAATAAAAATAAATAAATAAAACTTTGAGTACAACAAAGTAAAACAAAGATAACTATAGGCCTATGAATAAAAAACAATTTATCAATATTTGGGTTATTTTTATTACTATACACATTTGTCAAGCATGCAAAATGTGAAAATCCAACCTTAAAAAATTAGCTTCTTTTCAGGGTTTGAAATAAATTGTCTTCAGAGAGTTTTGATGTCTTCGCGTCACTCAAATGCGCTATATAACGTCTAATGCCATATCATGCACAAGAAAAGGAAAGAAGCCTACAGCCTAAAGTTTTTTTTCTATGCCAAAGAACAATGATAACTCCAACTATTTACGACATAAAACTATATAGGCTACATACACTTAGCCCTAAAAAATTAAAATGGTCTAACATCGTCTAGCACCTATGTTGGCCAAAACGCACACTGTCTACACCTTTCTGGCACTCTAGTGCTGCATATGGATTAGGATTTCTTTCTTTTTACACCTGCTGCAATAGCCAATAGGGCTACATACACAGCAAGTTCTATCGTTTATCTGGTAAGGTTTCCATTCCAAACTAGTCATTTTGCCGCTGATTGTCTACTACGCCACCCGCTAACTGATACATAGGTCTATGGACAAGCACCTCTTTTTACATAGGCTACTGTCAATTATAGATGTGAACTGAAACCTATTTATGTCTTTTCCACTATGGTTTTCCTTATATTTAAGGTGCAAGTTCAAAATCATTCTTGAAAGATGTGTAATACAACCTTTTTCTAATACTTTATTAATAATTCTAATACTTTAATAATAATTTCTAATAATCAATAAAATACCATTGTGAATTTAAAAGTTAGAAGAAACTCTTAAAAATAAAAAATAAACAACAAAGATGAAAGGTAAGAAAAGAACACCGCAAATGTTCAGTTGATCAGAGCAGCAGTTGAGCAGATGCCAAGATGTTTGCCAAATGCTTGCACAAATTACTACCAAAGCATTAGACGACACCCAGTAGGCCTCTGCATTTCAACCCTCAATTGTATTGTGTTTTCACAAGGAACAGCGTTGTTGTACAAAATAAAGAACTGCCAGCTAAAAGGCCATTGCATCACAATTAATTCCCTGCTTTTTCTTTTGGAAACAACAACATAGCATGATCTTAATACTGTCTGGTCCAAACCATGATATGACAGAAACAGAAATAGTACGAGTGGCTGATGACAACATTATGTGGATCGAACTGCTCCATCCGTTCTGCCACATAAGATTGGTAGAATGGATTAATAAGGTGATTCCACCTTATATTATACAAAGTCAACTAATTTTAGTTGACGAATTTTGTTATTATATTGTCTTGGTATGAGACAGAAGTTATAATAGATTTATAAAAATACTGTCTTAAATCTAAACCCACTTAAATAAATAAAATTAAAATAATTAAATCAAGAATAAATAACAATAAAACAACAGCGAAATGATTGGTTGCTAGAAAAAAGTTAATTAAGTTATTATATTAAGGTTGAAATCCAAACTGACCTTGAGGAGACATGAGTAGGTTTACATATTCGAGAACGTCGAGGAACAGTTCATTGCGGCGATATTTGATGCCCTCCCTGCGCCAGCCAATCTGTCCTGTGACTTGTGACGTAATCTGAGCCTGCTCCTCCTTGCTCTGAGACTTAACTCCCTGCTGCGTGATGAAGGTTTTCAGAACACCCGTGTCTGAGTTCTGAGGGTAGCCAAAGTCCAGGATTTCTATAGTAAAATGTCTCAAGTAGAAGTAGGCGGATCACAATGGTTAAGTAAGGTAAAACTATGTGTTGGTGAATTTGAGGATGCAAGATTGATTAGAAAGGTGAATGAGATGGCTCTCTTCGGCGCCTTAATACTGTAGGCGAGAGTTAAGAAGTCCTCTGAGTCCTGGCCTATTCTAAAAATGTAGGCGCGCCGTGCAGGTTAATCATGTTCCACGCGGCAGTCAGGGCTCACATTCACTGTGTTAAAACGAAAAGAGCACCTGCAAATACCGCGCAACAACATACAAACATTGCTGCATATCACTCTGGCTCAGAGGACTTCTTAACTCTCGTCCACAGTATCCCTTCGCACTTCATGCAAGCCTCCCTAAAAGGAATATAATAACCATACATTTCCATAATACATTTCCGTGATTACAGACATCACGGTTAAAAATATTATTATTTAACTTTGGGTCCTAGGACAGTAGGTTCTAGCCCAGACATTACTTTAGGCTAGTCCTAGAGGTTTGCGGCGGGACAATTACTTGGTAATAATATCCTCCATTGGTGCCTTATAAAAGTATATAAAATTTTAAACTAACCGTCAAGCAGCTCGTAGATCAAGACAAAGTTGTTCTTGATATTTTCTTCTGATATTTTTCCAAAGTATGATTGCATGACATCGATGACTCTGAGCAGAAACTCGAACACCATGGCAGCATTAACATTCTGCTTGGTCACTGCGGCCAGCCAGATGTTGGCCCTCTGGACAACAAAGTTAACAGGCTGTAGGCTACATAAGTAATAAAAACCTACCTACTCTGTTTGATATTTGTAGGCTATTTAATAAAAAAACTAGTTGAAGGCTAAGAATCTTATGTATATTTTAGTTGGCCGTTTTAATAATACTAGAGAGCCTGGCGCACGGAATCGTGCGCAATCTACACACAGAGAAGGAGGACTTTTTATTGCTAATTTTTTATTTGGAGTTCTTGGGTATTTTGGTTTTGTTCTTAGAGGTGGGGGCAATGATACTACATAGGCCTACCTACTATAGTTCGTTGGTTGGGGGTGGTGGAAGGTATAATTAATGATTGAGTTTGCTGTTTACGTGCGTCTTTACCGGTTTTTTTGTGAAAGCCGCTAAAAGATGCTAGTTTTATTTATCTTTTTTTTTAGAGGTTGGCGGCCTTTTTTAACCTTGCATTTGCCCGTCCACATAGACTAAGCGCCCGTGCGTGGATCATTTACAGCAAAGCAAGGAGTGAGCCAGTACAGTACAAAGGTGATCTGTACTGATAAATCCTAGTGGCAGTGACCAGGATCCGAACCCACGACATCGCTGCCTTGGGCTTGAAGTCCGACTGAGCCACCGACACACTACAAAGGAGGTGAGTCTACTTTAATCTACTTTAGCCTAAGTAATTCTTTCGGATTTAATTTGATTTTCTACAAAGTACAATATTGATTTTGATTGTTTACAAATCTGAAAATGATACCATGCGTGCACCAAGTGTGTATTCCATGAAAAAAGGTGGGTTCTTTTAGCAATTTTCCAACAAAACCTAATCAAATCGAATCAAAATATCCTTTATTCATTTAATTACAATTGTACAGGAATAGAGTCACATCTTACAAAATAAAATGTTTTACTGGACTAAAAATAAGACAGAATATTTATTTTATTTGTTCTCCCAAAACTCTTCTAGAGAATAAGGGGCAATTTTAATCAAATACTGTTTCAGACAATTTTAAAACTTTTTTGTGTCATTTTCAGTTAGAAGTGTTTTTGGAAGATGGGACATAAATTTATTTCCTGTGAATTTTGTTTTCTTTTTATAAAATTCTAGATTGTGTCTATCAACTTGAGATTGAGAACAAGTGATATAATTATGACTAATTTTGTTTGATATCTGAATTTTTGTAATATTTTTCGCATAAATAATAGTACCTAAGTACCTAAGTATGGATACCTGAGGACTGTCGTTGAGATTTACTATACATTTTTTGAGATATACATTTTATGAGCTATACATTTTAATAATCATGTTCAACAATGGCTATATTGCTCTAATACTGTACACGTTTTGGTTCTTTAAGGAATCCATTAAAATTTTAGGTAATTTGTTGAAGGTTGCTAGTAGGGGCCAAACCTGATTTTGAATATAATTTCCAATATGTAGGTGCACTTATGTTTATAGCAAATTTGATTACAAACTATCAGAGGTAGGCCTAAAACAGAAAGACTATTGGTACCAACCTTGATATGAAAAAAGGATGTGCGTGCTATATTTGTGACTGGAGAACGAACTTGTTGTCGCGCATGAATGACGTTGACTCTAAATGCGTCCACAGCATTACGGCCGATGTCATCTCTATATACTCGGGAAATGAGAACTTCCCCTTTGTGGTTGTAAACAAAAAGCCCACCAATCATCTTTGGGCTCTGGAGTCTGTGAAAACAATATTTTTCAGTAAAATAAAATTTGAATCACTGATAACAGGTTGAAGGTTGAAAATCAGTAGACTAATCTGCTGGATGATTGATTTTTGAAAATTATGAAAACAAAAGGGCTTAACTAATAACCTTACTTGCTCCTAGTTTGAGGTACTATAGGCAAATTCGGTTTAAGGGTACATGTAATTAATTGTAAGTATTTGAGGGAGATAGAACAGGGATAGTATTGTTATACAAAAATGAAAATAGGGCAAAATGGTTACGTGTATTAATAGTTAATATGGAAAATACCTATTTTGGTGAACGTTGGTCTGTGCAACCGTATGCCTACCGGTACATTATTATAAAATTAATAGTGTAGTAATGTCAAGCAACAAAAAAAGGTTTTCTAAAAGGTAATCAATGATACCTAATTTTACTATGTTCAATGTATTTTGCCGTTCGAGGTAAATAAATTTGCCAGAACGCATATGGTGACGTCGGTGCACCAAAACAAAACCGAAAATTACAATATTCAAAACACCTACAGTGATGTCAGTGTGTGACCAGACAGCTCACACTTTAGGTGACGTCGGTCCAAAATGGCTGCCATTTTGGATTGGTAGAATTTATAAATCTGATAAGTTACTTTGTGCAAAGATTAAACTTAACTTAGCCTACTTGTCACTACTTACGTACCAAGTTTCAAGTCAATCGCTTTCAAGGAGTTTGAAAGTTATAGATTTAAGTGAAAATCACAGAAAGTTATGGATTTAACTTATTTAAGTGAAAATCACATAGCCTATATACACACAAACAGTAAACCAGGCATTGTAGACCCATGTTAATCTGGCATATTTTTGCATTGTTTTGACGGTACTTTGGTATTATTCAGAGGCCACCCTTTTACAGCGTGCAGCAGCGGCTATGTTAGGTTAGGTTATCAGCAATAAGTTATGTTTGTAAGACTTTCCTCGTTCTGTTATGAATCGAACGATACCAGATGAGTCATACTTTCGTACGCCAAACCACCTTCAAGTAGGCCAAGATCAGGTCGTTGACCGGAGCGTGTGCATCACCTGTCACCGCCTGTATCTGAGGTATTTTGCGGGTGAAAGTATGACTCAAAAGGTATAGTTTGATTCATAACGAAACGAGGAAAGTCCAACAAACATATTTATGATAACCCAACCTAACATAACCGCCGCAGCACGCTGTCTACCGGTACGGCGGATCACTGCCTTCTGGGAGGCAGAACTATGAGGCCGCTAATCATAATCATGTCAAATTTGGACAGTAAGTAAATTAAAGTGTTCTTTCCAATTAGGTGACGGTATTTATTTTTGGTCTCCAGTAAAAAAAATCTCTGTAAAAACAGTGGGGTCCAGATAATACCAAAGTACCGTTTTGACCTTAGGAACAAATATACAAAAGAATTCCAGAGAGTTCTGAGAATCCCTGTTAAGCCTTTTAAGGTTTAAATCCATTTTTATAGGATTTAATGTTAGATCACAGATCACATACATTCGCCTATTGGGTCTGATGATGATTGGAGTGTCCAATCGAAATCAATCACCACCTTCATTCGATTTTTTCATTATCAGCAAGTTTGGTTGGGTAGCCTACAGTTTCTTAACTGGGCTATGCTAACATTGATTGAAACTATCGATTCGATTAGTAAAACTTCATGCGGTTAGGTTAGGTTATGCCAGTAACTGCCAGACGCCCAATCCACGCCCGGTTACCAGACGGGTATCCTCTGCCTAGTTTGATTTTATTCATTTAAGTTACCTAACTTAACTTGCCAAAAATCCACATAGGCCTAAGTTAGTTATTATAGGTTACTTAAAAAAACAAGAGTTTGACCCACACAATGTAAGTTACGCCTAAGAGAAATTATGGGTAGGGCCAATAGTCTTGAGAATATTAAAAAAGTGGCAAAATGCCTTCGAGGTGTGAGATGAAACTTAAACAGCACCACAAAAACACTCACAAAGCAGATTATAGAGACCTTGGGTTCAAAGGGAAAGGGTTAGTAGTAAAATTTGTCGAGTTAATACTTGCAGAAGCATGCAAACATGCACGCACAATTATGGGTAAACAATCAATGAATAAGCTTTACTAAGGTGTTATCCAAGGGAGAATGTTAACCATGATAAGGTAAGTTATTATTAGGGAAATATGTAACTCATTCTTAAGTTAAAATTAGTTAACGAACATTTCAAGGTCTAAATTGAAGATCTAGTAAATGTTACACGTTTAACTGAGACTGATGATAAGCCTAAAATCTAGGCTATTAATTTTCTAGAATTCTGTCATCTAACACTGTGGCATCAAGTGTAGCCAAACGTAAAACATACCAATATTACCTTCAGGATCGAGGATAACTTTAGCTTAACTTAACATTATTCCACAAATTCAAACAAGTTCTTCTACGGAGTACAGACTCAGGATCCAGGATGACATTTGATTAGTGCAATTATAGCAGAAAGAAACTCTAATGTATTATGTATTAGAGGTGGCTGTGGTACCAGTGTAGTGTACCATAATCCAAGTTACCAAACCAAAACCAGTATTCCCTAATCAATCCCTTCTCCCTTCCCTTCCCTGTCACACCCACCGCGCCACCGGCCACCACCGCCAGCCAACCACTCCACTCTCCACTCCACATCCAATCCACCGGCCACCGAATCAACCAACAACCGCCTTCTTTAACTCTAACCACAGACGTGCACAGACAAAGTAGACATAGATAAAATACTTAATACTTTATACTTTTACTTTTCATTGAAATGGCGACCATACAGAGTAGGTATTTTAAGCCAAGTAAAAATCGGATTTTTCCAAAAATGGCCAAAACAATTTTGATAAAAATTTAAAAGTTTAAACGAGTTTGATAAAAATTTAGTATGTTATAGTCCTTTAAATTCTGAACAAAATTGTACAAATTCCATTTCCGTATATTTACTCTCACCGCTTACACATGATAAAGGTTGTTGACAAACTTATGGGAGAAAGTATACGTGTCAGAATGCTGATACCGTTTATTTTGTAAAATGTTAATAGTTTAGTGAGAAATTAATGTATTTTCCAAATTCGATCAAAATATGTTCATAAACAAGCAAACTACAAAAGTTGACTTATTCTCCAAAAGAACAACATGGCAATTTAAAATTTTCAATTTTTTTAAAATTTAAAATTTTTTTTAAATTTTCAATTTTTTTTTTAAATTTTCTCTGTAACCATTAGGCGCACAATAATGCTTCAACATACTACATTTTTTTTTTTAAGATCTACAAAATGGTTTGGAAAGAAATTGTAAAATTTTCTGTTTTAAGGGTCAAAAATGGGAAACCCCTATCTTTAACCCATAAACCCCCGTTCCCATAGTCCGATCGTGCTGGTTCGCGAACTCGTTCGAATAAATGTAGGTTTACACGTTTATACAAAATTTCATCAAAATCGGATCATTTTTGCTTGAGTTATCGTGCTAGCGGACACATATACCGTATGAATTTGAACGGATGATGGTGTTTTTGGCCTATAGGGACCTCAAAACGAAAAAGTAAATCGGTCCCGGGACTTACCATGAGTACTACGGTAATAGCATATGGGAAATTCGCTAAAAAGTACCAAACAATATGTGCTCGTGCTCTGTCATATTCATAAACACCGTGAAGTGGTGAGTTTATGGAATGGAAGAGGACATTCAGTTCAGTTTCTAGTGGTAAGCACTGAGCTATAGAATAATAATTAGTTTTTGATACAAGTCCTTGAAGTAAAGGATAGGCCTAACCTCAAATGAATAGTATGGTTAGGTTAGAATGAATTGGAATTTGACGGCATCCCGGTGGGGCACACGGGAGGGACTAAGGCTAACATATCTTGTAGTGTCAGCGTTCGCCGCTAGGACTGCTAAGTTGAAAAAATTTAAATTAATTTTTTATTTTTTGTTATAAAATTAACTTTTTAATTATAAAATATTGTTTTAAAATTATAAAATAAATTTTTAATTTTTTAAAACTGTCATAACATAACCTAACCAACCAGACTTGCTGATAATATAAAAACTATATAAGATAAAAATCTAATTAATGATTACTTATAATTTTTAATTAATTTTAAAATTCAGTATTATAAAATTAAACTGTCATAACCTAACCTAACCAACCAAACTTGCTGATATGAAAAATTTGTTGACAAAAAGTTAGTGCTGCCAGCGGGTTTCGAACCCCGGACCTCCTGAATACCAATCCAAATCGCTACCAACTATGCCACAAACGCCGCTGAAATCACATCGTTTCGTTACGGTAATCGTGTCGCCTCAAGAGAAGACATTATCCACTAGAGATATGACGTCACTACACCTTTAGCCTTAGTCCCTTCCGTGTGCCCATTCCGACAGCATCCCACCAACCGATCACATGGCCAACATAACAACACGAAACGCCGAAAACAAACCAGCAAAAACAGTGGCACGTTTTTCTCTAATGTTTAACCAGAGAGTAATTTTTTTTTTTTAGTCATGAGTCTACTTGGGTTATAATTTATTACTTATCTTGTTATTAATTTCTTCTGTGGTTGCCTGGGCTGGTTATTTTGACACTTCTTTAACCTGAGAACATTGATTGTTAGTTACACATATATGTATTATGTTTATAGTATTTTTGATGTTTCTTTGTAAGTATGTTTAGGTTAGTTTGTGTTCCATGTAAAAGAAGGATATCAATCTAAAGGATGGTTTTATCAGGATTAAGGGTTAGGGTGCAAAATCTTCTTGGCCAGGGGTCTGTCAGGCCTGACCTAGGATGGTCTTCAAAAGTTCCAAAATCGGAAGATCCAAAGAATATATTGCCGATCGGAAGTTCCAAAATCGAAAGATCCAACGTTTATATTGCCGATCGGATCTTCCAAAATCGGAATTTCCAAAGGTTATTTAGCGGGTCGGAAGATCCAAAATCAAAAGATCCAAAGAAAATATTGCCGATCGGAAGTTCCAAAATCGTAAGATCCAAAAGTACAGTCATAACTAGAAGTACAAATTTATTTCTTAAAGTAAACTTATGAAATAGGCTGTCCTTTTCACTTTGGATCTTGCGATCGTATGTCGGGTCGGAATTTCCAAAACGCTACTAGTCAGATCGGAACATCCAAAATGCTAGAACTGTTGCGTCTCTCAGATTGAAGGCGATGAACGCCGTAACCAGCCGCGTTGCTAATGTCAGGGGAAAAGTTTAGACACTCGAGTTTAGATCTGTATGGAAAAGTAACCAAACTACTTATTTGGTGTGTGTATTTTTTGTCCAAAAACCATTTCAACATCATATTTAAGACGTATATTCAGACAATGTTTAAAAACAACATTTTAATTCGCTCTATGTTAGATAAATATTGTCACATAAATTAGCCATTAAGTATAACGGAGTTTTTAATTAATTTTAGTTTTGTTCTAATTTATATTACGTAAAGGCAATTACTAAAATACTGTTTGTATTTTATCAATGGAGTATCAAAATGCCCTTTGAAGCACTCTTTGTATAGTTTTACAATTCTCTTAGCGTATGTATTGGCCTTAAATATATGCTATGATAATTTTTTTTACATCTCCTTTTTTAAATTTAACCATCATGACAACAATATTATCAAACATAGATGGAATGAAATACTCCTAATAGAAGAGTTAATCTTCTGAGAATACTCTCAGTAGGCTAACATTTTTTTTTTGCTATTAGAACATAGAATTAAGTATTATGGAACAAATAGGTAGTTTACTTTGTGGTTTATACTGTATTTATCTGAAGTAACTTATCTTACTAATATTATAAATGTGAAAGTTTGTGTGTTTGTTTGTGTGTTTGAAGTTCAATCACGCATAAACCACTGGACGGATCGAGCTGAAATTTGGCATGATGATAGCTTACATTCCCGATTAACATATAGGCATATTCTTATCTCAAAAATCCTTTCGGGCTCTGCCCCAGTGGCTCTGTAATTCCCCATGTTAACCTTATGAGTATTCATATTTAAAGGGAATTAAAGAATTTAGTCAGCTGTTTTAACTAAAAAAGTTGGTTCTATGAAATGGAAAAGCATTAAAAAGTTATAAGATTTACCAACAGGGTGCAGCACTATATTTTTTTTCATTTATGAAAACAGCTAATTTCTAAGCAACAACAAAAAACTGTGATTCGCAATGAGAACTGTCAAAGTAGGAGTGTTTACAGTTATGTTTATGGTTTTCATTTCATGAATAATTTGTGATATTTTGCGAATTGTTGATAATTTATTTTTCTCTATTGTTTAGGTGAAGTGGTAGAACATTATGGCTATGGTAGATGTGTAATACTATAGAATACTGTAAATTTAAAAAAGCAAATTTTATCAAACTGTGTCCTCCCTTATTACAAACGCAAAGCTTAAGTATAACTGCAATAAGCATTTTATACTTATATTCCAACCCCGTACGAAGGACGGGTACTCTGCTAGTCTTTTTATAAAGTAAAATATGTATCTAGATAACAGTCCAATTTGTTTAGGAAATCTTAATTTTCCTCATACAGTTTCTAACTCCCGTATTTGTCAAATACTGCTTGCCTCACTGTGGTATATATAGATTGCCTTCTAACAAGGCACCATAATTGCAGACGGCGTATATCGGTTGATGCCATGTTGATGTATGTAACTAAATCATAATCCCTGAATTTAAAATCTTAGATCGAAAGACTTAATGCTAGACTTTAAAGACTTTATGATTGAAAGATACCAATTCAATAATACAAGTCTTGAATTAACTCAATCACTACACTAACTCTTGTTTGTGTCTGATACTAAATACATTAAAAAGTAGTATGCAAATTATTTGATTTGCATTTTATATTTATATGAATTTTTTTATATGCTCAACAAATTTTTACCCTTCGTTCATTTGGGGTCTGAGGCATATCCCTAATCATTTCATGGCTTTTGTTTGATCAATGTCAATGTAAGGGTTATTAATTACTAGCAAGTACCTTCGGCTTCACCTGCGATGGTATAACCATAAATATCATATAGCATAAGAAATGCTTTATGATATTTACTTTTTTTACGTAATTAAGTAAATTTGTTTGTGTAATCTTTTTGGATTTAGTTACTTCTTTAATTATGTTACGGTAATAATAATAATTATCCGTAATGGTTGTGCCAATGATGATGAGTAAGATATTATTATTGTGTACTGCCTCCCGTAAAATTAAAATACCCCCGCGTCAGTGAACCTGCAGAGAAAGCAAATTTCCATTTACCTTGCTGTAATTCTACTAAATTCTTCCCTAGAAATTGTAAGAAATATTTCCTATATGAATATTATTAATTTCAATGAGTACCTAGGTTTGCTGTTACAGGGGGGAGATAATTTGGTGTGTATGTTATTGATAGCTTGGTATGAAGTAAACCAATTTGCCCAATCTGTTTCTCTAAGGTGTAGTTATTTCATAGGCTGTATCGTATATTTCAAATTAGTAAATCCTGTGTTGAATTATAATACAGATGTAGAAGAAACTTATGATATAAAGAAGAAGTGCTCAAATGTAATCATAGGTTGATATAGACCTTAATTGTCTTTGTTTGTAAAATACAATGCCGCAAATCCAAACTCTAACGGACAATCGAGTCGGGCGGAGCACGAAATGAGTTTTGAGATAAGAATATGCCTATATTTTAATCGGGAATCGAATTTCAATCGGGAATTGTGTAAATAAAACAATTGCTTTATTTACACAATATTCGTCAATTAATAATCTGAGCCCTATCTATAATTACAGTGCCTTGTGATTCAGAACGCAACCCATATACATCACAGTTACGAAAACAGTATTTGAATAGTAAAGGGAGTTAATGTACAAATGTTGGTCAGTCGAACGCACGGGAATCGAGTAGTCAATTTTTTAAACAGTTTAATTCAGAACAGCTATTTACACATATAAAGACCAAAAAACTATGTCGTATAAGTCAATTCTCATATCTTCAACGATTAAGCGATAGTTTGCAGAACAATAAGTATTTTCAAACATGACTTAAAATTGTTACAACAACACCTTTTACTTAGGTACACAAATTGAATCTCCAACAAAACTTGATTAGACGCAAATGTTTGATATACAGTTGAACATTTTACATTTCCTGATAAAACACATTCTTTGTAAGGAAAAAATTACATTTCACTTGAATTAGGTTACAGCAGACATTCGCTAGTTGTGGGGAAAACTAAATATAATTTAACGTTACAATTTCAATTTAATTAAATTTGAAACTACCTGTTTGTTACAACAACCGGAAACAACTTCAAATATTTAGCGTTGGTTACTAGTACACTATTACAACTTAATAATTCAGCTCAAATAAACCACGACAAATTCATTATCTTTTCATTTTTCAAATGATTTATTCTAGATTCTCTTACGGAGTAAACAAAAATTGTCATAAGCTATAAAAATAAGTTATTATTTGTTTAAGACGTTTGCCAGATAATTTAGTATTGTTATTGTCAAGGTTAATACTTAAACCATCTTTTAAGAATAAAAATAAACACGTTATTTTACTTTTGAAAATAAATAGTAAACAATACCAACACTAGCCCTGCATGCCTTCAAAATCCCATATATACAGGGTGGCGCATATGGATTGGGTGGTTTTAAAATACTTGTCAAACTGTCAATTTTAAAGGTATTGGATTGAAATAAAGTGCAAAGCGTGTAGTTACAATGGAAGTTTATTGACAAAAAAATTGTTAATTTAGTTTTTAAAAATTACATCCATCAAATGCCTTCCTTCTCGAGCGACGCGTTCTTGGAGTCGGTCCTTGAGGTTCCACATTGCTCGCTTAAGCACATCACCAGGAATTGATGTGATTTCGTTGTGAATTGCAGCTTTCAACTCCTGAATGGTCCGGGGTTTGTTCATGTAGACCCTTGCTTCAGGAGTTGAAGGCTGCAATTCACAACGAAATCACATCAATTCCTGGTGATGTGCTTGAGCGAGCAATGTGGAACCTCAAGGACCGACTCCAAGAATGCGTCGCTCGAGAAGGAAGGCATTTGATGGATGTAATTTTTGAAAACTAACTTAACTAATTTTTTGTCAATAAACTTCCATTGTAACTACACGTTTTGCACTTTATTTCAATCCAATACCTTTAAAATTGACAGTTTGAGAAGTATTTTAAAACCACCCGATCCATCTGCGCCACCCTGTACATGTATGTATGAATGCGTGTGTATTTAAGTGTGTGTACTTGAAAATACTAATACAAAAATATTAATTAAAATATCAATTAACAAAACAAATAACCATTAACGTTGCTGGTGACGACGTGTGTTTAAACGCCTTCAATCTGAGAGACGCAACAGTTCTAGCGTTTTGGAACTTCCGATCTGATTACTAGTTTTGGATCTTCCGACCCGGCATATGATCACAAGTTCCAAAGTGAAAAGGACAGTCTATTTCATAAGTTTACTTTAAGAAATAAATTTGTACTTCTAGTTATGACTGTACTTTTGGATCTTACGATTTTGGAACTTCCGATCGGCAATATTTTCTTTGGATCTTTTGATTTTGGATCTTCCGACCCGCTAAATAACCTTTGGAAATTCCGATTTTGGAACATCCGATCGGCAATATAAACGTTGGATCTTACGATTTTGGAACTTCCGATCGGCAATATATTCTTTGGATCTTCCGATTTTGGAACTTTTGAAATACTCCCCTGACCTAACCCGAAAAGGAGGGGAGACCACGGAAAGAAGAACCTTCGGCCACAGGAAGTATGTATTGTGTCTCAGTGTATGTTGTTGAATAGTCTCTTATGTATTTCATTTTCCTTTCTCTCAAATGTTCTTTTTGATAACGATCAGGAAACTTGATAGTTCTTTATAAATATTGCAGTATAACCTATATCTCAATGGTGGTAAAAAGGTGGTAACACTTTTTACTGCCAACTGTCGCTGTACTGACTGGTGCTGCTCCGTTGCTCCGTGTCCGTGTGTCGGAATTTTGAGGTAAGGAGATTTACTTTCAAAGCAATACCAATCAGCAGGACAGGAGCAGAATCAAGTGAAGTGAAGAAGAAGAACTTAACTTCAACTTTCCAAGTCAAGTGTCAACATCAACATTCAAGTCATTCAACTTCTACAACAACAACAACAATCGGGAATCGCGAATCGCCTCTTTGAATAGAGTTTATTGAGTTGAAAGTGAAATATTTTTGTTTTGTGATTGTCTTTTCTTTTTATTTTGTGTAAAAAGTTGTGTTTTTAAATAGAAAACTGTGATCTTCTAAAAACTGGAGGTACTTTTTGATTGGCATAAATAAATCCATGTTGTTCCAAACTGTTCTTGGCTATAAGGTAAGTTATGAATTTTAAGTTATGAGTTATGAATGAAGCCAGAAAGGTGTACACTGTGTTTCGGGTACAGTTTCTTAACTGGGCTATGCTAATATCGATTGAAACTATAGATTCGATTAGTAAACCATCATTAGATTTGTTCATCATCAGCAAGACTGATTGGTTAGTTAGGCCTATTTTAGGTCATGACTGTTTAATTTCATAATAGGCCCTAAACTTAGATTTATTTAAAAATATTGATTATTAATCAACATTTTCGATAGTTTCAATCGATATTAGCATAGCTTAGCCCAGTTAAGAAACTGTACCCGAATTCTAGAAAAAAGTTGTAGGCCTAACTTATCAAAATATTTGCAAAAATAAAAAAGTTAGGCCTATAAGTTATAACCATTTTATATAGGCCTAAAGCATTGCGTTTAAGTACAAAATGGCCTCGGCGGCTGTTGATTATACGGATGAAAAATGCTGGCAGCAAAACGGTTAAGTTAAGTTAAGAACTTTGACCGATGAATTACATTTTTATGTGTCAAAATGATTTCTCAATTCCTGTGGCTATCACTCAGTTGCTGTTTTGGAGGCTAACTGTTAACATGGTCTGTTTACTAGATATTCGGTTGTAGAGGTGTGTACGTCAAGTTGCTATTTAAACTTATTAGTTTGTTATCATTGTTTTATAGTACATAGTTTAGATTCAACAGATTAAAAACTCATCCACCATCTAGCCAGCAAGGATCAAGATAACTTCTGTGATTATAGGCTATAAACAGAGATGTATTTAAGATATGGAAACTGTGTCGTATCACTACGGCTCAACCTCAAGTAACACATCATCCCAGTAACATTTTGGCCCGAAATCCTCAGATGTGGCCTGCGGTCCAGCTCTTACCTGCCCACTAAAAAAATATTTGACAGTTCTTCAGTACGGTACGGTAACTATTTGGGAGAATGGATATAAACTAACAAAAGGCATTAGATTTCAAATTGACTCACCTCGAACTGCGTTCCGCAAAGGCTTTGAAAAGGTAATTTTTAACTAAACATTTATACTAATTTCCACATAAGGTTAGGTTAGGTTAGGTGTAAGTTAGACCTCACTCTTACGAATAACGTTAAAATTTGCAACATCTTCTCTCGTAAACAAAGGGGTTGGTGGGGATGAGATACCACGGATTCTGAAAGAGTAACGGTTGAGCGACATTCCACCACATGGCTTACTACCTGAACTGAGTTTCTCAACCCTTGTAAAATTTTTGTCGGGCTGAAATGTTACTCCATTAGCTTATTAATCAACTGTAAAAGCGATTGGGACGAAGCATTATACTGTTTTTTTAAGAAATTGAGTTTGCTCTCGAAGTGTTACTACACCTGTGCGAGCAGCCCAGATGAGAGGAGTAAACAGAGCTGTTTCTATTGTGTAGTAACACTTCCATGGAAACAGCTCTCTTTCCTCCTCTCATCTGGGCTGCTCGCACAGCGGATTTGTGGCAAACAACCTTCGGGTGTGAGAGTTTCTACTCTTGGTGTCAATGACAATTAATTCTTCACTGCACCCTAATGTTTTGTTCGTTTTTGAAAAATTTTAAATCCATGCAGTCAGACGCCAGATGCCTATGAGCGGCTAAACCCAACGGAAGTCCCTAAAAGCAGAGGAAGACCAACAAAAAAGGGACTTTAATTGAAAAATATTGACCAACTAGCTGTTGTACCCGTGCTTTGCAACGGGAAGAGGACACGATAACACGAAATGCAAAAAAATGAATAGTACTGCACCCTGTTGGTAAACCTTATAGGCCTAATTTCGTAATGCTATTTAGTATCATAGAACCAACTTGTGTAGTTGAAACAGCTGACACAATTCTTTTATTGCTTTTAAATATGATTACTCATAAGGTTAACATGGGAAACTCCAGAGCCACTGGGGCGGAGCCCGAAAGGACTTTTGAGATAAGAATGCGTCTATATGTTAATCGGGAATGTGAGCTATCATCACACCAAATTTCAACACAATCCGACCAGTATTTTTCCCGTTTACTTGTCACAAACATACATCCATACATCCAAACTTTCTCATTTATAATATTATATAGGCCCTATATAAGTAGGATTAGTAGGATTTTTCTTGAAAGTGTAGATGCGCGTAGTTATAGGGCACCCTCAGGGCTATCTCTCTCCCATGTGCGCAGTTTATGTGCCGAACATCCATTTTGGTGCTTAATTTGAGTGTGCCCATAATAATAGATAGGCCTAACAAATAAAATTATGAATATAGTCAGCATCCTAAAAAATATTGGTGGGACATTAAAGAACAATATATTTTAAATCGGATCATATGACATGGATATAATTCTAAAAATGTTATTGAATATCTATGGTTCCATAATTGTGTAGCCCTAATCACAGTTTTCACGAACTGAGAATAAAGAGTCATTCTGTGTTACAACCCTCAATGCTTTTAATTTCAAAATTTATTGCAATTTTTTGTGATTTCTCGATTAAAACCCATAGTAACTCCCTTTTAGCGGATTTCCCCTATAGGGAATAAGCTATTACCGTAGTACTCATGGTAAGACCTGGACCCAGCACCGATTTGCTTTTTTGTTTTGAGGTCCCTAGAGACCAAAAACACCATCCGTTTGAATTCATATATATATATATATTCATATATGTGTACGTTAGCACGAGGACTCGAGCAAAAATTATCCGATTTTTATGAAATTTGGTAAAAACGTGTAAACCTACGTTTATTTGAACGAGTTCGCGAACCAGCATGATCGGACTATGGGAACAGGGGTTTATGGGTGGTTTTAAGGGGTTAAAATTGGTTTTTCCCATTTTTTTCCCTAGAAACTTAAAATTTAGCAATTTCTTTCCAAACCATTTTGTAGAGCTTAGAAAAACAAATAATTTAGTATATTGAAGCGTTAATATGCGCCTAATTGTTACGGAGAAAATTCCAAAAAAATGTAAATTTAAAATTCCCATGTTATTCTTATGGAGAATAAGTAGGCCTAAACTGTTGTTGTTTGCTTGTTTATGAACATATTTTGATCACATTTGGAAAATGCATACTAAACTATTACATTTTACAAAAAAACAGCTTTTTACCCTCCCTGTTGCAGCAAACCTAAGTACTCGTTAAACTAATGTTATTTAAATAGAGAATAAATGTGATATTTTTAAGGAGGCATTTTAGTGTAAATCCAATCAGGCAAATGGAAATTCGCCTAGTCTGCAGGTTTGCTGCGGCGGGGGTATTTTGTTATAGAGGTTGGCGGCCTCTTTTAACCTTGCATTTGCCCGTCCACATAGACTACAGATCTGTGCGTGGAATGTATCCAGCAAAGCAAGGGGTGAGCCGGTACAGTACAAAGGTGAACTGTACTAATAAAATGTTTGTGGCAGTAACCAGGATCCGTCGATCCGAACCCATGACATCACTGCCTTGGGCACGAAACGTGACGCTACCAACTGAGCCACCGACTCACCTTTGCTAACCCAATTAAATGTTTTTTAAAAATTTTAACCTAAAAAAAGAAGGTATGACTGTGTCAGTTTGCTTATCGTTAATCCGAGTGACTGTTTGCGCATTGGCAACGAATCGATGATATGGCTTGACTTATAAAATGATCTAGCTGTCTTTGCTAACAAGCGTTTCAACGTTACCTTATTATTTCTTCTTTTTTTAATGAAACCAGCTACGCCAGATAGGTTGTGTCAATAAAAAGACCCCACTGATACTTTTGTATTGATAGGATACCTATACAGGTTGAATAAAAAGTCAAGACCCCCCCCATCTAACATTTTTCTAATTAAACATACAGAGGTGGTCGTGTAATCTTACCATGAAGTTTCATTTAATGGTTTTGATAACTTTGATTGTCCCCCAAAAATTTGTAGGGGCTACTAAAAAAATTTGAAATGTATACCCCCTTCAAGTGACACCTCATTTTTACTGTTTACCAAAACTTAATGAATGGCGAAAACCAGAGTTTGTCATCTCTTCTCTATCCAAAAAGGTAGTACAGTATTTGAAGTCTACACATAAAAAAGAATCAATGTGATGGTAATATTGGCTACTATTTTGGATAGAGAAAAGATAGATAGAAGTTTTTGTAAACACTTAAAAGTGAATTGAGGGGGTTTGCATTTAAAAGTTTTGATTTGCCCCAAAATCCCCCATTTTTTAGGGACACTCAACATTTAGGGGTTACTGTTTTAAGATTGCACGACCACCAAAAGCATATCTCTGTATATTTACTTAGAATAATATTAGATGGGGGTCTTGACTTTTTATTCACCCTGTACATTCACGTGTGGCGGTCGGATCGAGCCTCAAATATTATTCTGTTCCTCGAAATAATTGTCTTGGATATAGAATGGCTTAGCCATAGTACAGTGCTAAATTCTGGGCTGTGCAGGTTTTTTGTAGGGCGAGCTGTTGTCTATCCGGATCTTAGGAGCCGGGAATGCATGTTTTGTTTGATAAAGCCTACAGAAGAGAAGGTCTATTTTCATTGTTTAGTCTTTTCTGGTGTGTATGGACAGTGTTTATAGTGGGAGAGATTTGAGTGTTATTTATAATGCAAGTTGGACATAACATAATGTAGTGACTATAGACTGTTAAATTTTGGTTCATGCATTTACGTTTGTGTACATCCTTATTGTTATTCCTAACTCGCGTAGGCCTATAGCTCAAACTTTGATGTTGGGAAAGTTTAGTGTTGGGGTAGTTATAGGTTTTGAAGTAAAAGCCCTGACTGAATAACTCGTCAAAATGGTCATTGTAGTCGTCGAAGAGCGTGTTATATTTCTCTGCTGGAACTGTCAAGTGTTGTGGCCCAGCTGCCCCGCGGCGCGGCGGCGTCTTTGCACCCCCGGGGTCTGTTTACTTTGGCGCGAGGGGCAAACAACTATACTATGGGCCTTCTAGGAAGAATAGCCAATCGTATAATGCACGTCGGGGAAGATTTATTTCACGAAGCGGGCCGCCTTCTCTCCAC